GCCCAGGATGGTATCGAACTCCTGAGCTCAGGCAATCCACCCGCCTTGCCCTCCCAAAATGCTAGGATTACAGGTGTGAGCCACCGTGCCCAGCCCGTTATTCTTGTTTTTAGACCAGGAGCTGACAAGCCTTTTACATAAAGGGTTGGATAGCAAATATTAATACTTCAGGCTTTGTAGGCCATATAGGCTCTGTAACTATGCAACGGTGCTGTTGCAGCTCTAACGCTGCCAGAGACAATACAGAAGAGAATGGGCATGGCTGTGTTCCAATAAAACTTTATTTATGGACACTGAAATTTGAATTTCACATATTTCTCACATGTTAGAAAATAATTCTTTTTATTTTTTCCAACCATTTAAAAATGTTCTCAAAACCATTCTCAGCTTACAAGGCCAATGAAAAACAGGTGGCAGGCTGGACTTGACCCACGGACCGACCATAGTTGGCCAGTTCCTGTTTTAGTCCACACAAGTTTCTTTTTTTTTTTTTTTTTTTGAGATGGAGTTTCGCTCTTATTGCCAGGCTGGAGTGCAATGGTGCGATCTCAGCTCACCACAACCTCTGCCTCCCAGGCTCAAGTGATTCTCCTGCCTCAGCCTCCCGTGTAGCTGGGATTACAGGCATGTGTGCCACAATGCCCAGCTAATTTTGTATTTTTAGTAGAGACAGTTTTCTCCATGTTGGTCAGGCTGGTCTCAAACTCCCGACCTCAGGTGATCCACCCGCCTTGGCCTCCCAAAGTGCTGGGATTACAGGCGTGAGCCACCACACCAGGCTTTGTTTTTTGAGCTGGAGTTTTGCTCTTGGTGCCCAGGCTGAAAATGGCACTATCTTCCCTCATCGCAACTCCACCTCCCGGGTTCAAGTGATTCTTCTGCCTCAGCCTCCCAAGTAGCTGGAATTTACAGGCGCCCACCACCACACCTGACTAATTTTTGTATTTTTAGTAGAGACAGAGTTTCACCATGTTGGCCAGGCTGGTCCCAAACTCCTGACCTCACACGAGGCCCGCCTCGGTCTCCCAGTGTTGGGATTACAGGCGTGAGCCACTGTGCCTGTCCACAAATTTGTTTCTTAAGTCTATTTCCCCATAGGCAGGGGGAAAAAAAATGGGACATTTGAGGACATAATAAACCTATCTTCATATCAGTACCTCCAAATAAGACACACACAGAAAGTACAAACTGTGGGAACAGAAAGCTAAACAGAAATCTGGCATCAGTGCAGAAATTGAGAGCTTTGCATAATTTACCTGTATCCAGGAGTAGAGGTGGAAGGGACTGTAGGGCCTCCTGTTCCTGCCACCAGTAGGTATCTTCACAAAACATGACTTACAGGTTCATGCTGTTGAATTACCTACAATTAATATGGTTTGGGCGGGGCGCACTGGCTCACGCCTATAATCCCAGCACTTTGGGAAGCTGAGGTGGGCGGATCACGACATCAGGAGTTCGAGACCAACCTGGCCAAGATGGTGAAATCCTGTCTTTACTAAAAATAGAGTGAGACTGTCTCAAAAAAAAAAAAAAAAAAAAGTAACATGAAGTATTTAACAGGCATCTAGCCCATCTTACCTTTGCATGACACTGTGATTTTTTTTTTTTTTTTGAGATGAAGTCTTGCTTTGTCACCCAGGCTGGAGTGCAGTGGCGTGTTCTCAGCTCACTGCAACCTCTGCCTCCCGGGTTCAATCAATTCTCCTGCCTCAGCCTCCTGAGTACCCAGGATTATAGGTGCCTGCCACCACGCTCAGCTAATTTTTTGTATTTTTAGTAGAGATGGGGTTTTGCCATGTTGGGCAGGCTGGTCTTGAACGCCTGACCTCAGGTGATCCACCCGCTTCGACCTCCCGAAGTGCTGGGATTACAGGCATGAGCCACCTTGCCCCGCCATCATCATCTTTTAATTAGGAAATATCACTGTGGCTGGGCACGGTGGCTCACACCTGTAATCCCAGCACTTTGGGAGGTTGAGGTGGGAGGATTGTGAGGTCAGGAGTTCAAGACCAGCCTGGCCAACGTGGAGAAACCCTGTCTCTACTAAAAATACAAAAATTAGCCAGGCGTGGTGGCAGGCACCTGTAATCCCAGGTACTCGGGAGGCTGAGGCAGGAGAATCGCTTGAACCTGGGAGGCAGAGGTTGCAGTGAGCCGAGATGGCGCCACCGCACTCCAGCCTGGGTGACAAGAGCGAAACTCCGTCTCAAAAAAAAAAAAAAAAAGATGATTCGGACCCAATAGTGTCCCTTGCCCCTCTCAACCCAGTAAGGCACTTACCACCCAGAGTGGGCAGCTTTAGAGGACAGAGCCAACTTACTGAGAATTGGACTCTAAAAATAAACATTCTGCACATTTCTTTTAGCCTCTTCTCTCTCATAAAGGCCTCCACAGATGGCTTCTTTACATCATGCTCTCAAATGACTAGCTGATAAATATTCATACTTATGGAAATTGTATTGTACATACTCCAAACCCCCAGCCAGTTAACATTTGTATTTTCTGTATCTTGGGGGTGGTGCCCTTTGTTCGTAAGACTTGTTCTATGTAAAAAGCACACATGCACATGTACACACACACAACCAGCTTTCTCCTCTATGACTGATTTGCCTAGAGCAGTGATTTTCAACCAGGATTGATTTTGCCCCCCAGGGGACATTTGCCAGTCTGGAGAGATTTTGGCTTGTTACAAATGTGGGGATGTGTGCTCCTGGCATCTGCGGCTGGAGGCCAGGGATGCTGCTCAACATCCAGCAGTGCCCAGGATCCCTCCACTGCAAAGAATGACTTGGCTCAAATGTCAACGGGGCCAGGCCAACCCAAGATGAAGCAAAAACGAGACTGGGGGAGAACAAAACCCTGAGGGAAGGAAGGTCAAAGCAGCCTGGAATTTTAACAGAAAAACACAAGGGGGCTGGCGGAGGCATGATCCAAAGTTCGCTTTCATCTTTTACCCTCTAAGACAGGGTCTTACTCTGTCACCCAGGCTGGAGTGCAGTGGTGCAATCATGGCTCACCGTAGCCTCCACCTCCCCGACTCAGGCAATCCTGCCCCTCAGCTTCCCAAGTAGCTGGGACTACAGGCACATGGCACCATGCCCAGGTGATTTTTTATTATTTTTTTGTAGAAGCAGGGTTTCGCCGTGTTGGCCAGGCTGGTCTCAAACTCCTGGCCTCAAGTGATCCACCCACCTTGGCCTCCCAAAGTGCTGGGATTACAGGCATGAGCCACCACAAGCGGCCATTATTTCTTATTCAAATTAATACCCAGCAGGGTGCATTGGCTCACACATGTAATCCCAGCACTTTGGGGGGCCAAGGCAGGTGGATCACTTGAGGCCAACAGTTCAACATCAGCCTGGCCAACATGGCGAAACCCCACCTCCACTAAAAATACAAATATTAGCTGGGCATGGTGGCGGGCGCCTGTAATCCCAGATACTTGAGAGGCTGAGGCAGGAGAATCCCTTGAACTTAGGAGACAGAGGTTGCAGTGAGCCGAGATCACACCACAGCACTCCAGCCTGGGCAACAGAGTGAGACTCTTGTCTCAAAAACAAAAACAAAAAACAGCCAAGCGCGATGGCTCACACCTGTAATCCCAGCACTTTGGGAGGCCGAGGCAGGTGGATCACCTGAGGTCAGGAGTTTGAGACCAGCCTGGCCAACACGGTGAATGAATCCCCACCTCTACTAAAAATACAAAAATTAGCCAGGCATGGTGGCACGTGCCTATAATCCCAGCTACTCAGGAGGCTGAGGCAGAGAATCACTTGAAATCTCTCAAAACAAAACACAAACAAAAACAATAAAAACCCCTCCCCTCAAAACAAATTCAATACCCAATTTTTTTTTTTTTTTTGAGACGGAGTCTCGCTCTGTCGCCCAGGCTGGAGTGCAGTGGCCGGATCTCAGCTCACTGCAAGCTCCGCCTCCCAGGTTCACGCCATTCTCCTGCCTCAGCCTCCCGAGTAGCTGGGACTACAGGCGCCCGTCACCTCGCCCAGCTAGTTTTTTGTATTTTTTAGTAGAGATGGGGTTTCACCGGTTTAGCCAGGATGGTCTCGATCTCCTGACCTTGTGATCCACCCGTCTCGGCCTCCCAAAGTGCTAGGATTACAGGCTTGAGCCACCGCGCCCGGCCTATTTTTTTTTTTTTTGAGATGGAGTTCTGCTATCGTTGCCCAGGCTGGAATGCAATGGCGCAATCTCGGCTCACTGCCACCTCTGCCTCCCAGGTTCAAGTTTCTCCTGCCTCAGCCTCCCAAGTAGCTGGGATTACAGGCGTCTGCCACCTTGCCAGCTAACTTTCAGAAGAGACAAGGCTTCACCACATTGGCCAGGCTGGTCTCGAACTCCTGACCTCAGGTGATCCGCCCGCCTCGGCCTCCCAAAGTGCTGGGATTACAGGTGTGAGTCACTGTGCCTGGCCATAACCAATTTATTAAGGTTATACATTTAAAAGCCTGTTTCAGTTTTCAAACTCAAAAATACTGAGTCAAATTTTAGTTAAAACACTCCCTCCTTTTGCCTTGTTCCTCAAGTAATGCTCAATTATCTCATATATTCGGGAGGTTAAATCCCCCCTAACCATTAATGCTATTTACAAATTTGATTGAATACCCTTATGCATTTCAAGCTAAAAATTGAATATCCTTCTCCCAAGTATTTCAAACATCACAGAAAAACTCCCAGACAAGCCATGCACTAAACGCTGCTCAAGATTCCCACTGGCATCCCAGCCCTTCCTCCCTCCCACCACCTTCCGCAGCAGTCCGAGACAGCAGCCCACTCCGAGACAGCAGCCCACTCCGAGACAGCAGCCCACTCCGGGCCCACACACTGCACCTGGGCTGGGCACCGCCCCACCCTGGTTGGCTCCCTGACTCAGTGCCTGTGCCATCTGCAAAGGCACGGTGACAGCACTTACACTTTTTAAAAGACACTATGAAGATGTTCATGAGATCTGTGAAGACAGCGCCCAAAGGAAGCACAACCAGTGACTTGTATTTAATTTATTGAGAATCTTACAAAAACAAAAAACAAAACAAAAACCACAACAACAAAAGAAACTAAATACAGAATTTGTTATGCTTCACGGTTGATCATTTTTACTTGCAAGAGTAAACCTTGCTAAAATGCAGCCAGTACATTTTTATTGCATGAGACAAATTTCTCAGTTACATATCAAAAGTGGTCAGAATAATCAATGCCGGACACTTCGTACTGCGCTCCCACGAAAGGCTGGATGCAGCAACGCAGTATCGTCAGAACAGGGCGTACCCTTCACACACTGATGGACACGCTACAACAGGAGCGATAACAAAAGGGAGATTTAAAAGAGAACGAAATGAAAACAAACCAAGAGCTGACATCCGCCTTTGTTTCAAGTTGTCTTTGGATTCCATCAGACGTCTCCAGATGCACCATGTCAGATTAGTAAAGGAGAATGATCTACGCCTACATAGAAAAGTATCCTTTGCTCAGAGGAGGTAGAACCTGGCAAAAGTTTTATTGCAGAGATACAGTGTACCTCTTCCCACCTCTCATGGATGATGGAAGATACAAGTGGTTATTGAAAACTCCTATCAGTAGTTTGCAAATTCAGTATAAACCATGAACAGGATATTTTTCTGATAGCGGTGAGACTGCAATGTGCTACGTAGAAAAAAAGCTCTCTCTGCCCCATAAAGTGGGAGTCAGAAAGAGGCTCAAGCTTCTTTATCCTCTTCAGTGCCATAAATACTGTCAGAGCAAAAAGGTCTTCAGTGTCTGCTGGCCAGAAACATCTGCCCAGGCACAAATGGGCCGCAAGGGCAGGGTACTGGTTAGGGGCCCACAGTGGAAAAGCCAGGCAGGTTCTCACCAGGGGCCTGTAGAGTGGCCTTCACTCTGGAGGATGCCTGAATTACAAGTACCAAAAAGAACCTGCTTTTTTGGGCTTCTTTTCCTAGCTTAGCCTTGCACTAAAGGGCAGTCTTGCTGGACTGCACCCTGCCATGTTGCTGCAGCGCAGATGGCCGCACTGCCAACCACAGCACGGCTTCTCCATGGGCTCCAGAGGGAGACTGAGCAAGGAGGGTCTGAGTGGTGGATGCACACTGGAGGCAATCTGTGACAGGCCCCAATTCACGACAAATTTAGTTCCCAAGACTGATCCAAATATGGAATGCTTTTACATTTTCACCAAGTCTACCAAGTTGAATAGTAATGAATGAAACTTGTACATGAATGAAAGGCCCCAAAGACGCTCACGGCAATCCTTCCTGAAAGCTATAAAGGAACATGCTCTTACAGGTGCAAAATTGTGAACAAATACCCAATGTCTGCCTCCCGGGTGCCAAACACCACCATTTTCATGAGTCATCCGGGTCTTCCCAACTCCAATTATTAAAAACATCTCGATCCAGCTCTGCTTCTAGGCTTATGGCTGATGCAGTCAAGATCCACTCGCCGATACAAGGGTGGAGAGCACAGCCGCTCCGGGGATCCCAGGGGCCAGCGCTGCAGTGGGCACCTGCCTCTCACCCTCCAGCAGAGTCAGCCTAGGAGGCTCCACAGCAGTTGCTTGGCTCTCTTTTGGAGGACAATTGTTCCTTAATGCACACTTTTTTTTTTTTTGAGACAGAGTCTAGCTCTGTTGCCCAGGCTAGAGTGCAGTGATGCCATCTCAGCTCACTGCAAACTCCGCCTCCCGGGTTCACGCCTTTCTCCTGCCTCAGCCTCCCGAGTAGCTGGGACTACAGGCGCCCGCCACTACGCCTGGCTAATTTTTTTTTTGTATTTTTAGTAGAGACAGGGTTTCACCATGTTAGCCAGGATAGTCTCGATCTCCTGACCTCGTGCTTCGCCCTCGTCGGCCTCCCAAAGTGCTGGGATTACAGGCGTGAGCCACCGCGCCCCGCCGATGTACATTCTCTAAAGTCACCTGTCAATAACACCCTAGGTCTGCCTCCTGCCTGCTATAAATATCCTCAACAGGTTATAAACAGCAGCAGGCTACCTATGTTCATTGCAAGTATCACTCATTATTCGTAGGCTAAAAGTATAGGCCCAACTTCTTTTTTTTTTTTTTTTGAGACGGAGTCTAGCTCTGTTGCCCAGGCTGGAGTGCAGTGGCTGGATCTCAGCTCACTGCAAGCCCCGCCTCCCAGGTTCACGCCATTCTCCTGCCTCAGCCTCCCGAGTAGCTGGGAGTACAGGCGCCTGCCACCTCGCCCGGCTGATTTTTTTTGTATTTTAGTAGAGACGGGGTTTCACCGTGTTAGCCAGGATGGTCTCGATCTCCTGAACTCGTGATCCGCCCGTCTCGGCCTCCCAAAGTGCTGGGATTACAGGCTTGAGCCACCGCGCCCGGCCAGGCCCAACTTCTTAAATAAACATAGGGAATTTGCTACAGCAGCAGGCCAGAAACCACTGTTTCAAATCTGCAAGATTTTCCTATCAGGTGGGAAGCCAGAGATAAGAAATATGTTAAGGCCTGAAAAACTGCAAAAGTAGGAGCAAGTCACGTTTGCTGATCTAAGAGCTAAGTTTGATCCCAAATGCACTGAAGAAGTTAGAGGAGCTTTAAAGAAGTCTCAGGAAGCATTTTTTACAATGTGAAAACATCAGGTCACTACAGCTTCCAAAGAACAACATAAAGGAGCACGAGCAGCCACACAATGTCAGCGTCAGAAAAGGCGCTCAAGTGCATCCCCCCAGTACAATGCATTGCACACAATAAAAATGCAAAACACAATAAGACACAGTAAAAAACAGTAACACAAAACAGCAATTCTACAGCAAAGATGCAAAACTGAATTCTAAAATACAGGAACAAATACTTTTCTAAATGAAAAGTTTTCCATACTTTTCTAAATGAAAAACAAAAAACAAAAAACAAAAAAAGTCGTAAGATGCCCCATATGGGAAAGTCAAGAAAAGAATAAATAGAGCTGAAGGGAAGAGGGAAAAGGGAGAAACAGGTGGGCGGAGTCCCAATTTACAAGAATTATTTACATTCAGAATCCAGAAGAACTCGACATTTCTATATATATACATTTATGTACATATATATAAATACAGCATAAAATTAGAGGGTGGGTTTTGGATTTTATCTCAAGTACTCAGAAAAAAAATGCTAGCGAGCTTGAGTTGCAGGTATTTAGGTGTGTTTCTGTCACTTAAAAGACACTGCATTTGTATCAGACAACTGGCATCCAATGAGACTTTTTTTTTTTTTGCAGTTTTTGCTCTCAGCTGTAGCTGACATGAAACGCTCGTTGTGTTTCTGCAGCAAAGCGGGCCAAGCGCAGTGCGCACGGGTGTGGCGTCAGCCAGGGAGACCGGAGCCACAAAGAAGGGCAGTCAGTAAATGTCCATCTCCACGGTGTCTGCCTTCGCCACTGGGAAGCCTGAACTAACCGAACATTCGTTAATAGGATCCCAGCCTAACAGCAACGCTTATGTAGCACCATTCTCAGAAACTACCAAGTATCACACAGGGACATGTGTATGGGGACCTTCCTCTTGACTGCTTGTCAAGAAAAGGATCCAGAAGGAACTTACACCCCTACTTTCATGAAGTGAGATGCAACAATCATTTCCAATCTATTGTTTTTTTCTCTCATGCTAAAATGAAAGTGGAGGGGAGAGGGAAGAAGGCTCCCATTCTACAACTGTAAATGCTGTCCTGGTACCCTTTCTTCTCTTGCCGGCTAACAATTGTTCTAACAGCATCCCATGGAGGCCAGCAAATGAATGCCGCAGGGGCTACAGCCAGAAAACTGTGCCTGTAAAATATCATATTCCTCTGGAGCTTGGTAATACAGAACTTTTACCTCTACAGATGAAGCAAACTAAAATATTGTTGTAACTCAAAAAGGCTTCTGAAGTGCTGAGTTAGAATAAATATATATAGATACATACACACACTACTACATTGCTTTGAATGCAGGTTCTTACTAATTTATATACACATGTAGAGAAGATACTGAAGTGTCTAACTGCAATTTAGCAGCAGAAAAAGAAAACTGCTTAACATATCTGCTTCTTAATCAAGTCATGTTTAAAGAAATGCATTAATACATCTATGAATTTGTATCATTGATAGTGTATCTGGATAATCCCAGTAACTACAAATAGAGACCTTGTGGTATGGAGGTTGCTAAATTAGGGGAACATTAATTCCCCCAGAGATAACATCTGAGCTGCTTTAGACTCTGAAAGTGGTTTTCAGTACAACCGACACTGTAAACTCTGAAAACCCGAACGTGATTTCCAATCAAACCTTTGTGCTCAGAGCCATATTGCTAAAAAGAAGAAAAAGGCATTGCAGAGGCAAAGAGGACAGGGGTTAAACAAGGCCTCTGAAGTCAGGTGTGACACTGAGATCCTGCAATGAATGGACCTATTTTACAGAAGTTAGTGGCTAATTTTTTGTATTTATTGATAGAGATGGAGTTTCGCGATGTTGGCCAGGCTGGTCTCGAACTCCTAGCCTCGAGTGATCTGCCAGTCTCGGCCTCCCCAAGTGCTGGGATTACAGGCATGAGCCACCGCGCCCAGCCAAGAGTTGGGTTTTAACAGAAGAGGACCTCGAATGCCGAAGTTTCACAGGGCAGCCAAACCGAACTTGCTGACTTTTGTAAGACCACAGTGTAAAGGTCGGATATCCACCTGAAGAAGGAGTGGGTGCAACTCTCTGGGTGCTGCACACACCATGACCAGCCTGGGCATGCATCGCCCCAGCTCCCATCCATTCAATACTGGTTGCCTTTTTGAGGTCCGTTTTGAGAGGGCTTTCAGAGGCCTTTTAAATGAAAAAAACAACAACAAAAAAGCTGTTCTACAAAGAACCTAATATACATACACTCCTATGTATCAAGATGGCTAGTTCAGAGCAAACATTACATCATGGGACATGGGGGTTGTCAATTAGCTGCATGCTAAGAATCCTCATATGCTGCTTTGAAAATGCCATAAAAAACGAAGATGCCCTCACACACAGAAAGAGGAGCTGGGTCAACAGCCTATGAGAGAAGATCCTTCCCAACTCTGCCATTCTGTCTCACTGGAGGGTTTGTAATGCTTCCCTTCCTCAGGTCCAGCGACTGTACCTCTGCTGGAGTGGGCGACACTTCCATTGCTGATGGAAGCTGACTACTGCTTTAAAAACACACACATGAGCTGAGAAGTTCTGCTGAAGGTGGGGACAGTGCTGCTCTTGGCTGCCAGCCGGGTCTAGTGGCCCTAACAAGGAAAACTGGCTGATATAAAATGGATCACTGCCTGAGATATATGAACTGGACTGAGGATAGAAGTTGCATCCACTGGGCAAAATGTGCCAAAGAACAGAAAGTACTTTCAATTTATTCTTTTAGGCACCAAGAATAAATAAATCCTAAGAAAACTTATGGTAAGCTTGACATAACCAAACTCAGGCTAAAGGAGACACAAGAGGATGAACACCCTAAGCTTTCAGCCAGGTTTGTCAGTTTTAACACACATCTCACCCAATTCTGCAAGAAGTTTAAAAACACAGCAAACAATTCAACTTAAAAAACACTCAGAAGTAGTATCATTACACCCCTTCCCTCAACGCCATCTCAAATTTTAGGGATAAGTTTTAAGCCAAACTATAAGGCTACCTGGAATGCTGAGGCAACACACAAGTTCTGCTGAGTCCCCGTCACAGACTACTTCTGAAGGTCACCAGTGAGGGCCTAAACAAGAGTCCACTTCTTGTTAGTATAATAACTTTTTATTTGACATCTACAAGATTTTGGCATCTTGCAGCTTTTTACCAGGTTTATACAATCTCGATTTTTCAATAGTGCAACCTGTGTAAGCAAAAAAAAAAAAAAAAAGAAAAGAAAGAAAGAAAAAAGAAAAAAGAAAAAAAAAGAAAAAGAAAGAAAGAAAAGGAAATAAAAAGACCAACTGTCCCCTCACTTGTTCTTATAAACATCTATTATAGGTGAAACAAAACTTACCCATATTATATAGATAAGTGTCTATTCACATTTGTACATTACCATTTTTAACAGCTTGAGATAAACTCTACAATGTCTTACAACACATTAAACAATATTCAAGTTACTGAGTAACAACAATAACAGTAACAAAAAAACATACAGCAGAAGCCTCAAGTGTTTCCTCATTGTCTACAACTCAAGTATGGTTTCCTTTTTATGAGTGAAAAAGCAAATTAAGATAACAAAGTAAAAAACGATTGTTTGCAAGATGAAAGCCAATTTGTACTTCTTTCTAAAACTACCTTTAAGTTGAAAATGTAAATTTAAGAGGCTTACAGCCATTTCTGCAGCACACATTAGGAATACTATTAATACATTAAAATTAACTTTTAAGAGTTTTATCACAGAAAAATGTATGTACTCATTACCTTGACCAGAAACCTAGGGCAGGGAGAAGGGGCAGGAGGGGTCTGCAGGATTTGAAGCAATACCCAGGTATAAACACTATAAAAATGCAATAACCAATGCTGTACATCTAACAAATGTTTCTCTCTGTTACTCGACTTCTGTGTTAATCTTGTTTACGCATGCTTTCAAAGACATGCACTGTCAGAACAAAAATTAGAAAATAACCTGAATGCATGATATGCAACCTTTCATTTCATGCTTTAATAAACCTATTAAGCTGGAAAAAGAAACCAATATATATTTTCTATATTTATAGACTCAAAACACATGCATCCGGGGATACCTCCCACAGCAATGGCATGGATGTACTGCGTTAACCCTGAGCACTGTATAAACATAAAGTAAAGCCAGTTTGGGAAGTTCCAAGCATTTTAAACCAACTGTGGTCTGTAGCCTTTAACACACTCACAAACAGACTGACACACACGCACGCACACATCCCGCTCTGCTCACCCAAAGTAAAAGCAGATGGGAAGTACCAGGGGAGAAGCAAAAGGAAAGACATATGTACCACCATCAGCACTGCTGATTTTCAGTTTTGCTATCTATTCCAGGTTTGTCCTTACTTCCAAAAAAACTAACTAGAGAGAGCACAACTGAAAAAAATATATAATTCTTTGGAAACTGTCCCTGATTTTTATGCAAATGATATGCTTCAACAGCATTTCAGATCCATCCATGTTGAAACCTGTCTGTTCTTTATGCGTTGCTCAAGTTGGTGATGCTCTGAGGGTGATGCTGTTGCCATAGCTGTTTCTGTTGGACCGCAAGCTGTTGAGACTGGTCTGAAGTTGATAGGAGATTTACAAGAGGAGACACACAATTTGCCGGAATGATCAAACCTGTAATTTGTAACAAGAATTTATAAAGTTGTGTCCAGAAGAAACCACGCTGTATAGCTTCACAGCAGATTCCAAATGAGGCATAATATTAAGCGTAATGAACAAGAAGTTCACACAAAAATTAAACGACTACCTAATAAATGAAATGACCACTGAGATGTAGTCTGATTCTTCAACCGCATTTCCCACAAATACCCAAGCATATGCATGTGTTTAGTGTAATGCCATCTTGTTGGAGGAATAGGAGGTCAAGAATATCTATTATTCTCAGGAGGCTGAGGCAGGAGAATGGCGTGAACCCGGGAGGCGGAGGTTGCAGTGAGCCGAGATCGTGCCACTGCACTCCGGCCTGGGCAACACAGCGAGACTCCGTCTCAAAAAAAAAAAAAAAAAAAAAACCCCACAAAATCTACAAAATCTATTATTCTCTTTTTAATAGGAGGTCAAGAATATCTATTATTCTATGTATTATCTTTTTAAGCTCCACAAACATGCAAATGTCACTTCTGTCATGTACTAATGCACCAAAAAGACTACAGAAAAAAAGCTGCAAATTCAAATGCTAACTGAAATAGGTAAACTTTGAAGAGTAGATACTAGCAAACTGGAAAGGATACTCTCTGGGTGCTGGTTAAGGGAACTTAAAAGTCCTGCATGTGGGATTGAAGGCTCAATGTTCCCGATAAATTGCATGCATATATATGTATTTTTGAGACAGTCTCACTCTGTCTCCAGGCTGGAGTGCAGTGGCACAATCTTGGCTCATTGCAACCTCCACCTCCCCAATCAAGTGATTCTCCTGCCTCAGTCTCCCAAGTAGCTGGGACTACAGGTGCGTGCCACCATGCCTGGTTAATTTTTGTATTTTTAGTAGAGACAAGGTTTCAACATGTTGGCCAGGATGGTCTTGATCTCTTTGACTTCATGATCCACCTGCCTCGGCCTCCTGAAGTGCTGGGATTATAGGCATAAACCACCATGCCCAGCCCTAATTTTTTTTTTTAATAGAGACAAGGTCTCACTGTGTTGCCTAGGCTGGTCTCAAATTCCTGGGCTAAAGCAATCCTCCTGCTTCAGGCTCCCAAAGTGCTGGGATTACAAGTGTGAACCACCATGTCCAGCTGATGGGCTGCTTTTGGAACTGGAAATCTAGACTTTTAAATCAAACCTCTTTTTTAAATGTTGGCAATTAATTCAAATGAGGCCAGGCGCAGTGGCTCGCGCCTATAATCCCAGCACTTTGGGAAGCCAAGGTGGGCGGATCACTTGAGGTCAGGAGTTCGAGACTAGCTTGGCCAACATGGTGAAAAACCACCTCTACTAAAAAAATACAAAAATTAGCCGGGTGTGGTGGTGCATGCCTATAATCCCAGCTACTCAGGAGGTGGAGGATACGGTGAGCCAGGAGCACGCCACTGCACTCCAGCCTGGGCAACACAGTAAGACTCAGTCTCAAAAAAAAAAAAAAAAAAAAAATTAATTCAAATGAAAACCTACAAAAATCCCAAAACACTCAAGTGTCCAAAAAAAAAAAAAAAAAAAAAAATCCATGGACTGATTTTGGCCCATGAACTGCCGATATGCAACTCGTGGTAGAAGAAGGCTGCTGTAAGTGAAACCAAGATAAGCAAACAGAGTTCAATTGCTGGCCTGCTTCCTGGATACCTGTAGTTGAGCACACAGTGGGAACAGCTGGCCTAGTCTGCCCTTGCTCCCTGCAGGACACCAAGCCATCCTCTGTGCACAGTGGCTTTTGAGTTCCAGAGTCTTAAGCTAGCTCAATGGAGAACTCCTGGGCAAGAGACTGAACTGTCTTCACACCAGGGAGCCTGCACAGCCACCAAGAGTAGAGAAGGAGAGCAGGAGCGGCTGAGAGCAGCATCAAAGAGATGACCATATCATAACTTTAACCAGAACCAACAATGTCTGTTTGAAGGCTTAACTTCTGTTCGACCTTGTAAGAAATATAAAACGGGTCCCATACCCACTACTGGAGGAGATGTTAAATGCGTGTAGAACAGAGCTAAGATATTAGCAATGAGAAAAAAGTCAGATCTGATTTTTTCCTGCAACTCAAACCAAAACAAAAATTAGACTCACCTACAATCCGTTGCCCATCTTCCGTTCTTAGCCGCACAATCTGCATCTTCACGTTTGTGCCACTGACAGATGCTAGAACACCCTCAACTTTTGTCCAGACACTCAGCACTGAACCACATAATACATAGTATGTACGGCAACGAAGACCTATTTCACAAACTAACCCCAAGCTTGCTTTTTTGCAATTGCCGCGCCTAAGAAAAGTGGGAAAGAAATACACATATGTGAGTGTCTATATATGCACACAGACACACGTTTCTGAAAGGTTTACAAGGTCAACTCAAATTTCTTTTCTTTTTGTTTTTTTGAGACGGAGTTTCACTCTTGTTGCCCACACTGGAGTGCAGTGGCACGATCTTGGCTCATTGCAACCTCCGCCTCCCAGGTTCAAGTGATTCTCCTGCCTCAGCCTCCCAAGTAGTTGGGAATTTCTTTTTTTCTTGTATTTTTAGTACAGACGGGGTTTTGCCATGTTGGGCCGGCTGGTCTCAAACTCCTGACCTCTGGTGATCCGCCCTTGGCTTCCCAAAGGGTTGGGATTAGAGGCGTGAGCCACCGCTCCTGGCCGCAAGTTTCAAATAAACAATGTTTTAGCAGTATTTGCCTTTACTATTTCTTAGATTATAATTCTGTTGGCCTACTGGGTTATCATTTCCAATTTAAGGTATCAGTGCTGATTTTTTTGTTTGTTTGTTTGTTTTGAGGTGGAGTTTCACTCTGTCGCCCAGGCTGGAGTGCAGTGGCTGGATCTCAGCTCACTGCAAGCTCCGCCTCCCGGGTTTACGCCATTCTCCTGCCTCAGCCTCCCGAGTAGCTGGGACTACAGGCGCCCGCCACCTCGCCTGGCTAGTTTTTTGTATTTTTTTAGTAGAGACGGGGTTTCACCAGGTTAGCCAGGATGGTCTCGATCTCCTGACCTCGTGATCCACCTGTCTCGGCCTCCCAAAGTGCTGGGATTACAGGCTTGAGCCACTGCGCCCAGCCTCAGGGCTGTTTTTTAAAACCACAATTTTTTCAGGGGCCTGCCTCCCCATAAAAAGGGTTGAATTTATTGTGTTTGCTATCTGTTGAAGCATTTTAGTTATTTTAACATCCATTATTTTACTGTAGTATTGCTAGTTTATAAAATGATCTTGCTAGCCTAGCCGGGCATGATGGCTCATGCCTGTAGTCACAGCTCTTTGGGAGGCTGAGGGGGGAGTATTGTTTGACTTCAGGGGTTTGAGACCAGCCTGTGCAACATGGCCAGGCTCTATCTCTACAAAAAGTTTAACATAATTAGGCATGGTGGCTCATGCCTGTAACCCCAGCACTTTGGGAAGCTGAGGCCTGCAGATAGCTTGAGGCCAGGAGTTTGAGACCAGCCTGGCCAACATGGAGAAACCACATTTCTACTGAAAATACAAAAACTAGCCAGGTGTGGACTGGGCACTGTGGCTCATGCCTATAATCCCAGCACTTTGGGAGGACAAGGTGGGCGGATCACGAGGTCAGGAGATCAAAACCATCCTGGCTAACATGGTGAAACCTGGTCTCTACTAAGAATATCAAAACATTAGCCAGGCTTGGTGGCAGGCACCTGTAGTCCCAGCTACTCGGGAGGCTGAGGCAGGAGAATGGCGTAAACCCGGGAGGCGGAGCTTGCAGTGAGCGGAGATAGTGCCACTGCTCTCCATGCTGGGCAACAGAGGAGACTCTGTCTCAACAACAACAAAAAAAAAAAACAAAAAAAAAAAGCCGGGTGTGGTGGCACATGCCTGTAATCCCAGCTACTCAGGTGGTGGAGGCACGAGAATCGCTTGAACCTGGGAGGTGGAGGTTGCAGTGAGCCAAGATGGTGCCATTGCACTCAAGCCCTCTGTTTAATAAAGAAAAAAAGATCCTGAGACATCCTGCCATGAAAAAACAAGCAACACCTGTGAAAATAAAAGAAGGACCGGGGGGAAAGATCCTGCCAGTTATTTCTATATTATGAAACTATTGATACACTGGTTCTAAATCACATTAGTGGGAAGGACTCAGCAATCTAGAGGGGGGACGGAAAGGGGTGGGAGGGGAGGGAGAGGCTACATGTAAGTTTAAGAAGAAATGAGAAAAAGGGAGAAATACCACCGATGTTTTATAGTTAAAATTATTTTCAGAATTCATCAATAAAGATGTCCTTCTGGTTAGTACTAATTCAAGATGAATCTAATACACACAGTGTTAAACGTACATGTATAGGACACTTTTCTTACTGTAACTCAAAGCAAATGTTTGTTGTTTTTTAAGTTAATTTTTTTGTAGAGATGGAGTCTCGCTGTGTTGAGGAAGTTGGTCTCAAACTCCTGGCCTCAAGCAATCCTCTCATCGTGATCTCCCAAAGTGCTAGGAGCCACTGCACTGTCCCCAGAGGAAATGTTTTAGAAAATGTTAGGGGCAGGCGCAGTGGCTTATGCCTGTAATCCCAGCACTTTGGGAGGCCGTGGTGGGCAGATCACAAAGTCAGGAGTTCGAGACCAGCTTGGCCAACATGGTGAAATGAAACCCTGTCTCTACTAAAAATACAAAAATTAGTTGGGCATGGTGGCGGGCGCCTGTAGTCCCAGCTACTCAGGAGGCTGAGGCAGGAGAACTGCTTGAACCTGGGAGGCAGAGATTGCAGTGAGCCAAGATCGTGCCACTGCACTCCAGCCTGGGAGACAGAGCAAGGACCCCACCTCCAAAAAAAAAAAAAAAAAAAAAAAAAAAAGTTTGTAGGTTAATTTTTAAAACTTTTTTTTTATTTTGAGATCGAGTCTCGCTGTCACCCAGGCAGGGGTGCAGTGCCACGATCTCAGTTCACCGCAACTTCTGCCTCCCAGGATCAAGCAATTCTCGTGCCTCAGCCTCCCAAGCAGCTGGGATTACAGGCGTCTGCCACCATGCCCTGCTAATTTTTGTATTTTTAGTAGATACGTGGTTTCACCATGTTGGCCGGGCTGGTCTTAAACTCCTGGCCTCATGTGATCCATCTTGACCTCTCCAGGTGCCAGGACTACCGGCAAGCCAATGGCACCTAGCTGGCCTACCTTTTAAAACATTTTATCTTACAGACTTTTTCTAATTTTCAGTGGCACTAATTTACTCTCATAATGAAAACCAAAAGCACTACTCACATCAAAGCCAACTTATGCACCTACAGAAGGAGCCCAAACCATCAAAAAAACAAACAAAAAAACCCCTCAAGCTAAAATTCATTTACACTTTATATTCCTTTTCATGAAGTGGGTCAGATACCGCAAGAGCATTAACTACTTAATGAGGGAGAAAACTATGATTTGCAGATATGAGAGTATACGAGGTCACAAAGTGAACACTGCAAGCTAAGGGGTGAGGGGGCACAGCAAGAAGCACTCCAAGACTCAACAACAAAAGTTTGCGTGTGCTGTGCTGTTAACTTTGGGCATCTCCCTGGTTTCTTAGACATTCCCTAGATCTGGGACACCAGTAAAGCTTTTTTAAAAAAGAAAGGAAGAAAGAAAAGAGCCCAGCTACTCAGGAGGCCGAGATGGGAGGGGTTTGAGGCTGCAGTGAGTTATGACTGGCTGCACTGTTCTCCAGCCTAGGTGATATAATGAGACTGTCCTTTGAAATAACCAACCAAACAAAAAAAAAACACGGAGAGTGACAGAAGGAGGGCGAAAAAGTGTTTTTTTTTTTTTTTGAGACAGAGTTTTGCTCTTGTTGCCCAGGCTATAGTACAACGGCGCGATCTCAGTTCACTGCAACCCCCGCCTCCCGGGTTCAAGCGATTCTCCTGCCTCGGCCTCCTGAGTAGCTGGGATTACAGGCATGTGCCACCACAGCCGGCTAATTTTGTTTTTTTTTTTTTTTTAAGTAGAGATGGGGTTTCTCCATGTTGGTCAGGCTGGTCCCGAACACCCAACCTTAGGTGATCCGCCCGCCTCAACCTCCCAAAATGCTGGGATTTTTTTTTTTTTTTTTTTTTTTGAGACGGAGTCTCGCTCTGTCGCCCAGGCTGGAGTGCAGTGGGGCGATCTCGGCTCACTGCAAGCTCCGCCTCCTGGGTTCACGCCATTCTCCTGCCTCAGCCTCCCGAGTAGCTGGGACTACAGGCGCCCACAACCGCGCCCGGCTAGTTTTTTGTATTTTTAGTAGAGACGGGGTTTCACCGTGGTCTCGATCTCCTGACCTTGTGATCCGCCCGCCTCGGCCTCCCAAAGCGCTGGGATTACAGGCGTGAGCCACCGCGCCCGGCCTTTTTTTTTTTTTTTTTTAAATGGAGTCTCGCTCTGTCACCCAGGCTAGAGGCAATAGCGCAATTTTGACTCACAGCAACTTCCACCTTCTGGGTTCAAGCAATTCTCCTGCCTCAGCCTCCCAAGTAGCTTGGATTACAGGCGCCCGCCACCACACTGGCTAATTGTTTTGTATTTTTAGTAAAGATGGGGTTTCACCATGTTGGCCAGGATGGTCTTGAACTCCTGACCTCAGGTGATCCGCCCACCTCAGCCTCCCAAAGTGCTGGGATTACAGGCGTGAGCCACCGCGCCCGGCCATGAAAAAGCAAGTTCTAACATGAAGGATGACTGTTAAAGTCACGCTGCCAGAGAGCAGTTTGGCTGGAAATCAGAAAGCATCAGTGAAGAGTAAGGAGGTACATAAACTAAACAGTTTCATAAACAGTACACAATCTACAACCATCCAGTAAATATCCCTGATGGAACACACCACGCCTGACAATACTTAATCTGTTAGTTAATTCATGAGGACATACTGGTAAAGAGTGAAAGTGTATTTAAATCTCAATTAAAATTTGGAAAACATGGTAGGAAACATGAAAATACTAACCAATAAGCATGAGTACAAGTATCTGCAGATGAATTATACTGATCTAACCAGTGCATCAGGGCATCATCTGAGACGACCTGTAAAAACGAGAAAAATTTCACTGAAAACAGTATTGCTTTAAATAAACTGGTTACCTAGTCTCGTCTATAATTCTAAGAGGCAACCAATTTAAAATAATCTCTACACAAAAAGCCTTACCGTTGCCATTAACTGAATCTGAATGCCATTTCAAAAGTTCCGTCATGCTGGTTCCTCTTATACAATACATTTTTCAAATAACTACTTAACTTTGTTTTCAAATCAGAATGGCTACAAATAATAATATAAGGTAATATTAATAAAATAAAACCTAATAGTAAATGTTAGGAAAAATGGTCGCTTACTGTTTTCTATAAATCATTGCAAAATATAAACATAGAGGCATCCTCACAATAAAACTAAGAGGTAGTGAGAAGGCCTTTAAACATTCTAACTTTTGTGATTAGCACGGGAAGCTTCCTTTACTGAAGAGGTAAGCTATTTCAAATAATCATTTTAGGCTGGGCACGGTGGTTCATGCCTATAATCCCAGCACTCTGGGAGACCAAGGCGGGTGATCACTTAAGGCCAGGAGTTCAAGACCAGACTGGCTAACATGGCGAAACTCCGTCTCTACTAAACATACAGAAAAAAAAATTAGCCAGGTGTGTAGCACATGCCTGTAATCCCAGCTACTTGGGAAGCTGAGGCACAAGAATCACTTGAACCCGTGAAGCGAAGGTTACAGTGAGCCAAGATTGCGCTACTACACTCCAGCCTGGGCAACAGAAGGAGGCACCCTAGAAGTTTCTTAAGGCTGCTAACATTAAGACTGTGATATCAGCATTACAAAAGTTGACATTTTTCTTAAACCAGGCTGGGTGCGGTGGCTGACACCTGTTAATTCTAGAACTTTGGGGGGCAGAGGTGAAAGAATTGCTTGAGCCCATGAGACCAGACCAGTCCAGCCTTTGCAACATAGTGAGACCTCATTTAAAAAAAAAAAAAAAAAAAGAGGAAAATATAATTTCATACCTAGAAAAACTATCTTAAACAATTTCAATATATTATAAAATAAGTTTGTTTTTGTTTTTTTTTTTTTTGAGACGGAGTCTTGCTCTGTCACCCTGGCTGGAGTGCAGTGGAACAATCTCGGCTTACTATGGCCTCCATGTCCCAGGTTTAAGCGATTCTCCTGCCTCAGCCTCCTGAGTAGCTGGGACTACAGGCGTGCGCCACCACACCTCATTATCTTTTGTATCTTTAGTAGAGACGAGGTTTTACCATGTTGGACAGGCTGGTCTCGAAATCCTGACCTCCGGTGATCCAACTGCCTCGGCCTCCCAAAGTGCTAGGATCACAGGCATGAGCCACCGTGCCCAGCCAAAATAAGTATTCTTTTTTTTTTTTGAGATGAAGTTTCACTCTTGTTGCTCAGGCTGGAGTGCAATGGCTCCACCTTGGCTCACTGCAACCTCCGCCTCCTGGGTTCAAGCGATTCTCCTACTTTGGCCTCCCGAGTAGCTGCGATTACAGGTATGCATCACCATCCCGGGCTAATATGTTGCATTTTCAGTAGAGACGGAGTTTCTCCATGTTGGTCAGGCTGGTCTCAAACTCCCAACCTTAGATGATCTGCCCGCCTCGGCCTCCCAAGTGCTGGGATTACAGGTGTGAGCCACTACGCCTGGCCCAAAATAAGTGTTCTTATATAATATAAAGTACAAATGAGAAAATACCTTCTTATATTTCTTTTTTAGATCAGCATAAATTTCTAATTTGAGCTGTTTCCCAGTATTTGGTCGATAAACTAAGAAAAGTTTCTTTTTAGGATTCACTTCTTTAACTAAGATGGCAGTTTTCTTGTTGTTCCTTATCTGTTTAAAGAAAATGACAAAATATAAAGATTTTACAACACATACTTTAAGACATGTTTTTGTATCATCACGTCAGCATATATAATCACTTGAGACTGTAACACTAAGTAAGTACATAGATAGGTAACTTCAAAAAACACCAAAATTGCTTGTTTAAAAGACTAACACGGCCACACCCAAAGGGCAGTTATTGGACCTTAATTCCGGCTAAAACAAAAGTTAAAGACCAAAGTTATCTTCAGAAAACTATGTGGAATTAGCTTTAATGCACAAATGTCCAATACAGATCATTTTGCTTCTTTTATTTCCTGTACCTGGAATCCCAGTCAAGTAGCCTCAGAGAGATAAGAAAAACCAAGTGTAATAAAATGTTAACAGTAGAATCCAGGTAGTAGGCATTAGGGGTCTTCAGAGAAAGTTCTTTTAGCTCTGCTGTATGTTTTTAAACATCTCTCAGTAAAATGGAAAAATAAATATTACTGTCCTTTCAGGTTAACAATAGAATTCAAGCCTCTCCAAGCTAAGGCCTTGGATAGCCCCAGTGCTCTGCACTTGTCTCTCTGCCAGTACTGCCTTTCCTGATGTCACAGGGTTTTGAAGGGCAAAGTGAGAGATCACCTGATAAAGTGTTCTGTAAACAGCAAAGCTATGGCAGCAGAAAGCAAAAATGTTGAACAAATTGTCCACATATATGGAGGTAAAAATGGAAGAAAGGGAAGCATTAGAGAAATGTTGGAATCCAGGTATGTATTTTTAACTTTTTTTTTTTTTTGAGACAGAGCCTCGCTCTGTCACCAGTCTAGAGTATAGTGGCAGGATCTTGGCTCACTGCAAGCTCCGCCTCCCGGGTTCAAGGCGATTCTCCTGCCTCAGCCTCCCAAGTAGCTGGGACTACAGGTACCCGCCACCATGCCCAGCTAATTTTGTATTTTCAGTAGAGACAGGGTTTTTCCATGTTGGCCAGGCTGGTCTCGAACTCCCGACCTCAGGTGATCTGCCCGCCTCGGTCTCCCAAAGTGTTAGGATTATAGGCATGAGCCACCATGCTTGGCCTACTTTTAACTTTTTAAAGTTGGATTTATGAGAGAAACTTTAAGAGGAAGGAGTTACTCTTAAAACTCCATTTAACTCAAGGAAAAACTGGAAAATTCATTTCTTCCATAATGAAGACTGAACAGCTTCTAAACAATCATTTCTGGAGCAACACGGAAGGAAAAAGAAAAGTTACAAAGTAAAACCATTTTCCCAGCCCTCTAACACAATGAATCATTGTTTGTGGGGCTATTAACTTTTTATATTAATTCTTATAATAAAAAACATAATCTTTTACTTTCTTCTTCATGAATATTAAAGACCCTTGGTCTCTTACTTTTTCCAACTAATTGAAACATTGTTTATACAATTACTGTAAAGTCATAAAACAATGGTTAAGGTGAAGATTATATTTACAATTATTTATCAGCTGACAGGAAACATCCAAACCTATACTTACAGGATAGTGTTTAGACACTTAAGAATGGGCTCTGTCTTGACAGTGTCAGGTTAATTATACATCATCACAGAACAGTGGAAAGCGATTCTGACACTGACTTCCTAATGGCAGCACAGGTTACACACACTGAAAACTATGGTGGCCTAATGCAGTGAAGGTTCAAAGGCAAACAAAGACCAGGAATGAGGTCTCTAGGGCCACCACTCCTCATGCCCAGCCACCTGTTGCCACGCAGAGAATGAAGGACCAGTATTACCACATCCTTCAACCTAAGGGAAGCTGGGGATCATGACTTTCATCACAATCTACCAACAGCGATATTCTGGCAATAATTTCAAATTAAAACTAATAACCAAGAGCCAGGTGCAGTGGTGCATGCCTGTAATCCCAGCCATTCAGGTGGTCAAGGTGAGAGGATGGATCAAGCCCAGGAGGAGATCGAGACTGTCCTGAAAACAATAACCAACACCCTATGTGGACCAATCAAAATGGCACCTATGGGGGAAAGCCAAGTAAAATACGTGAATTCTACCAATGTCAACATCTTGGTTGTGATATCACAATACAGTTTTGAAAAATATTACCACTGGGGGAACTGGTAGAAGTATGCAAGATGTTTATCTGTATCGTTTCTTATAATGACATGCAAATCAACCTACAGTTCAATCAGTATTTCAAAAACCCCAAAACCACCAAGGCACAGTAGCTGACAACTGTAATCCAGCACTTTGGGAGGCCGAGGTGGGAGCATCATTTAAGCCTATGAGTTTGAGACCAGCCTGGACAACACAGTGAGATATCAACTGCATTTAAAAAAAAAAAAAAAAAAAAAAAAAAAAAACTAGCCAAGTGTGGTGGAGTGTACCTGTGGTCCCAGCTACTCAGGAAGATGAAGTGAGAGGACTGCCTGAGCCCAGGAGGTTGAAGCTGCAGTGAGCCGTGATCACGCGCGCCACTGCATATCAGCCTGGGTGACAGTGGGAGGAGATCCCATTACAAAAAACAAAACCAAACCAGAAAACCCCAACTCAACTAGGAGTCAGATCCTTTGAGAGCTTTTCTCTAGATCAAGGATCAACAGCTTAGGCCTGTGGAATAAATCTAGCCTGGCGCTTCTAAACTGAAGTAAGTTTAAGAAGGAATGAAGGGGCCTGGTGCGGTGGCTCACGCCTGTAATCCCGGCACTTTGGGAGGTGGAGGCGGGGGGATCATGAGGTCAGGAGATCAAGGCCATCCTGGCTAACACAGTGAAACCTCGTCTCCACTAAAACTAAAAAACTTAGCTGGGCGTGGTGGCACACGCCTGTAGTCTCAGCTACTCAGGAGGCTGTAGCAGAAGAATCGCTTGAACTTGGGAGGCGGAGGTTGCGGTGAGCCAAGATCGCGCCACTGCACTCCAGCCTGGGTGACAGACTGAAACTCTGTCTCAAAAAACAAAAACAAAACAACCCCAAATATCTTAGAGAACTGGTGAAATAAAAACTATGTTGTCTAAAGTAAGTCAGTATGAAACTCAAGATACTGCTAAGTATCTATACATATATGTATAGTTATGTGTGCACACACACACCCCTTAGTTCTGTCCACAGAGACAAATCATAACTGAAATAATGCAGCTGTTTTACTAACTGAAAAATGAGTCTTCAAGATATAAAGCATTATTAAGACTAAAGCAAGTCTCTGTCTTATGAAAAATGCTTAATTTAAGAAAATGTTGGGCCGGGCGCGGTGGCTCAAGCCTGTAATCCCAGCACTTTGGGAGGCCGAGACGGGTGGATCACGAGGTCAGGAGATCGAGACCATCCTGGCTAACACGGTGAAACCCCGTCTCTACTAAAAATACAAAAAAAAAAAAAAACTAGCCGGGCGAGGTGGCGGGTGCCTGTAGTCCCAGCTACTCGGGAGGCTGAGCCAGGAGAATGGCGTGAACACGGGAGGCGGAGCTTGCAGTGAGCTAAGATCCGGCCACTGCACTCCAGCCTGGGCGACACAGCGAGACTCCGTCTCAAAAAAAAAAAAAAAAAAAAAAGAAAATGTTGGCCGGGTGCGGTGGCTCACGCCTGTAATCCCAGCACTTTGGGAGGCTGAGGTGGGCAAATCACGAGGTAAGGAGATTGAGACCATCTTGGCTAAGATGGTGAAACCTCATCTCTACTAAAAATGTAAAAAATAATTAGCCGGGTGTGGTGGTGGGCGCCTATAGTCCCAGCTACTTGGGAGGCTGAGGCAGGAGAATGGCGTGAACCCGGGAGGCGGAGCTTGCAGTGAGCTGAGATTGCGCCACTGGACTCCAGCCTGGGCGACAGAGCAGGACTCCGTCTTTTAAAAAAATAAAAATAAAAAAAATAAAAACAATACTAAAGAAAATGTTAACAATTCAGCCAGGCGTGGTGGCTCACACCCATAATTCCAGCACTTTGGGAGGCCAAGGCAGGCAGATCATCTGAGGCAGGAGATCGAGACCAGCCCAGCCAACATGGCGAAACTTCGCCTCTACTAAAAATACAAAAATTAGGAAGGGTGATGTGGCTCACACCTGTAATCCCAGCACTTTGGAAGGCTGAGGCAGGCAGATCACCTGAGGTCGGGAGTTCAAGATCAGCCTGATCAACATGAAGAAACCCTGTTTCTACTAAAAATACAAAATCAGCCAGGCCTAGTGGCACATGCCTCTAATTTCAGCTACTCGGGAGGCCGAGGATGCAGTGAGCCAAGATCGCACCATTGCACTCCAGCCTGGGCAACAAAGAGCGAAACTCTGTCTCAAAATAAAAAGAAAAAAAGAAAATATAAAATTCTAAACTCGCATCTAATAACATCCTTTAAAATGCATTAAGTAAAAACGTAATACAAATGGACAAACCCACAATTACAACGATAAATTACCAAAACAGAGAAAGCTAAACACAACTGGGAAACAGGTACAAAGTGAAGAGACAATTACAATATTGGTCATTAAAAAGTATTATATATCTGAATAGCATTTAAAGGAAAAGTCGTACTTGCAATGACAAGTAAAAGCCATCGTCTGGTCCTGTCAGCTCAGCCCAAATCTTGGTAGCTTCCTCCCATGACATTCCCCTCTCTACACTAATCTGTAAGAGAAACAACAAAATTTAAACTCATTTCTGTAAATGCATCTCATGGGAAGACGATAATTCCACATGCACAACATTTTCTAAACTTACTGTGTATAATTCTACGTGGCCAGAGGTTGAATACCCTGGAGTCAGAAACTTTTTAACATCACTCTTCCTCACCTTTTCATCTCCAGAACCAAGATCTTGAACAACAGAAAGAAACATATAAATGTAAAAAGAACATTTTTATCAGGTACACACATTTAAAGAATTTCTCCACTCCACATTTTCCCTGGGGGCGTTGGGAAGGATATTTTCCCTACTTACCTAAGATTCCCATATCGTATCTTCCATTTTTTTTGGCATTTTGAACAACTGCAGTAAGTGTGTCCGCAAAATACTGAAATAATGCGTTCTGCTGATGTACCTCCATGCCTAAAATTCTATTTAAGAATTTCCCTATGTTGTTATAATCTGTAAAGACAAAAGATGAATGTTTTCATGCATTCAAATAATTAAAAATTTTTTATTCATCTAGGCTTAGTTCGAGTCCCACTTTCTCTTCTAAAAGTCTTCCTTCTTAACTCTTACACTGTCCTCACAAGGCTGTAATCTGCCCATTTCTCTCTCTAGGAATTAGCACCACTGCAGGATATGCTCAAAAGAGGTTTGTCAAACTGAATTTTTGCATCTTCAGTCTCACTTATGGAAAGCATAAACACAATTCAGTACATAAGAAAGCTCTCCAACACTGAATTCTCAACTGTAGCGGCACAATTAGAATGTCTGGGAGCTTTGGGAAACTACAAATGTCTAGGCTCCACCCCTGACTTCAGTAATTTTTTGTTTTGTTTTGTTTTTTGAGACGGAGTCTTGCTCTGCTGTTGCCCAGGCTGGAGTGCAGTGGTGCAATCTTGGCTCACTGCAACCTCCCCATCCCAGATTCAAGTTGTCCTGCCTCAGCCTCCCGAGTAGCTGGGATTACAGATGTCTGCCACCACGCCTGTCTAATTTTTGTATTTTTAGTAGAGATGGGTTTCCACCATCTTAGCCAGGATAGTCTTGGACTCCTGACCTTGTGATCTGCCTGCCTTGGCCTCCCAAAGTAATGGTATTACAGGCATGAGCCATCACGCCCAAACAATTTTTTTTTTTAGACGGAGTCTCGCTCTACTGTTGCCCAGGCTGTACTGCAGTGGTGCAATCTTGGCTCACTGCAACCTCTACCTCGCGGGTTCAAGCCCCACAGCAGCCAAAACCACCCAGAATGTTTTCAGAACATGAAGCTTCCCCTTTGGCTCAAAAGCATACGTCATAATGGACTTTAATACTATAGCAACAGTTATGTGCTACACAGTTAATAGTAGTACCTTTATCGAGAGTAAGAATTCCCGAGCGATCTTCTACATTTATCAGACCAACTCCTATCAGTCCTTGTCGAACATCTGTAAGAACAGGATCAACTCTGACTCATAAATTACAAGGGATGTCTACAATGTACCACTAAGTGAGAAAAGGATGTTGCAAGTAACATCATGCCATTAAAAAAAAAAACCTTGATATTTATATAAACATGGAGAAAATGTGGAGAGAACTGCCCCTGTTCACACTGTCATCTGTGACCTAAGAAGGTGAGAATGGAAGGAGGGTTAAGGGGACCACATTAACTCTCTTCATTATACATGTTAAGATTCTTTTCTTTTTTTTTGAGTCTCACTCTGTCACGCAGGCTGGAGCGCAGGATGCGATCTCAGCTCACTGCAACCTCTGCCTCACGGGTTCAAGCAATTCTCCTGCCTCAGCCTCCCGAGTAGCTGCGACTACAGGCTAATTTTTGTATTTTTAGTAGAGACAGGGTTTCGCCATGCTGGCCAGGCTGGTCTCAAACTCCTAACCTGGAGATCCACCCAGCTCAGCCTCCCAAAGTGCTGAGATTACAGGTGTGAGCCACTGTACCAGGCTGCAACATTATTGTCATTACTTATAATAAACAAGTTATCTATCTATCTATCTATCCATCTATCTATATATTTTTTGAGACAGGGTCTGACTATGTCACCCAGGCTGGAGTGCAATGGCATCATCTTGGCTTACTGCAACCTCTGCCTCCCAGGCTCAAGGGATCCTCTCACCTCAGCTTCCTGAGGAGCTGGGACTACAGGCGTGCACCACTGTGCCCGGCTAATTTTTTTGTAATTTTTTTAGAGAAGGGGTTTCTCCATGTTGTCCAGGCTTGTCTTGATCTCCTGAGCTTAAATGATCCACCTGCCTTGGCCTCCCAAAGTGCTGAGATTACAGGTGTGAGCCACTGCGCCTAGCCATAACCCATAATTTTAAGAAGTTAGAAATAAATCGGCCGGGCGCGGTGGCTCCAGCCTGTAATCCCAGCACTTTGGGAGGCCGAGATGGGTGGATCACGAGGTCAGGAGATCGAGACCATCCTGGCTAACACGGTGAAACCCCGTCTCTATTAAGAAATACAAAAAAACTAGCCGGGCGAGGTGGCGGGCGCCTGTAGTCCCAGCTACTCGGGAGGCTGAGGCCGGAGAATGGCGTGAACCTGGGAGACGGAGCTTGCAGTGAGCTGAGATCCGGCCACTGCACTCCAGCCTGGGCGACAGAGCGAGACTCCGTCTCAAAAAAAAAAAAAAAAAAAAAGAAATAAATCAAGGAGTCTTTTTTTTTTTCTCCCTGAGACAGGGTCTCTGTCACCCAGGCTGGAATGTAGTGGTGCCATCACAGTTCACTACAGCCTCCACCTCCTAGGCTCAAGCAATCCTCACACTTCAGCCTCCCAAAGTGCTGGGATTACAGGCATGAATCACCGCCCCCAGCCCAGGGAGTTGTTTCTGACACTGCTGATGTCAAAAGGAGTGAAGGTATAGGGTTAAGACTTAACTGCTTTTGTGGAAAGCCGAGAGTACTGATGAACACCCCTAACTGGTATGCCAATATGAACTGTTAACAACACATATCAGTATGTGTTAATATACCAAAAGGACTTTCTAGTGAAAAATGCTAACTCCATCTGAGTGCGTTGGCTCACGTCTATAATCCCAGCACTGTGAGAGGCTGAGGTGGGAGGATCACATGAGGCCAGGATTTCAAGACCAACCTGGTCAACATGGTGAAACCCCATCTCTATTGAAAATAGAAAAATTAGCCAGGTATAGCGGCGGGCACCTGTAATCCCAGCTACTCGGGAGGTTCAGGCAGGAGAATCCTTTGAACCTGATGGCGGAGGTTGTATGAGCCAAGATCATGCCATTGCACTCCAGCCCAGGTGACAGTGCGAGACCTTGTCTCAAAAAAAGAAGAAAAAAAAAAAAGACATTTCCAAATACACGAACGAAAAAAGGCTATGCCACATGTATCCATCACCCAGTTTAAACAACTGTGAATTCATGGCCAATTTTGTTTCATTCAAACCTCCCACCCCTACCAATCAATCCTCAAAGATTACTTACGTAGGTACTTTTTCAACTTTAAATTGAATTTTAAAAGTTATTTGGGGCTGGGCACGGTGGCTCAAGCCTGTAATCCCAGCACTTTGGGAGGCTGAGGCGGACAGATCACGAGGTCAGGAGATCAAGACCATCCTGGCCAACATAGTGCAACCCTGTCTCTACTAAAAATACAAAAATTAGCTGGGCATGGTGGCTTGTGCCTGTAATCTTAGCTACCCGGGAGGTTGAGGCAGGAGAATGGCTTGAACCAGGGAGTTGGAGGTTGCAGTGAGCCGAGATCACACCACTGCACTCCAGCCAGGCGACAGAGCGAGACTCGGTCTTTTTTTTTTTTTTTTTTTTTGAGACGGAGTCTCGCTATGTCCCCCAGGGTGGAGTGCAGTGGCCGGATCTCAGCTCACTGCAAGCTCCGCCTCCCGGGTTTTTTTTTTTTTTTTTTGAGACGGAGTCTCGCTCTGTCGCCCAGGCTGGAGTGCAGTGGCCGGATCTCAGCTCACTGCAAGCTCCGCCTCCCGGGTTCGGGCCATTCTCCTGTCTCAGCCTCCTGAGTAGCTGGGACTACAGGCGCCCGCCACCTCGCCCGGCTAGTTTTTTGTATTTTTTTAGTAGAGACGGGGTTTCACCGTGTTAGCCAGGATGGTCTCGATCTCCTGACCTAGTGATCCGCCCGTCTCGGCCTCCCAAAGTGCTGGGATTACAGGCTTGAGCCACCGCGCCCGGCCCGCCTCCCGGGTTTTTACGCCATTCTCCTGCCTCAGCCTCCCGAGTAGCCGGGACTACAGGCGCCCACCACCTCGCCCGGCTAGTTTTTTGTATTTTTTAGTAGAGACGGGGTTTCACCGTGTTAGCCAGGATGGTCTCGAACTCCTGACCTCGTGATCCGCCCGTCTCGGCCTCCCAAAGTGCTGGGATTACAGGCTTGAGCCACCGCGCCCGGCCGAGATTCGGGTCTTAAAAAAAAAAAAAAGGCTATTTGGCAAAGTGATTTTACTTAATGTACTAAAACGACTTTCCTCTTTTAAATCTATTATTAGACAAACATGCTTTCACTGTATCAACAGTAAGAGCACCTTCATTTGAATAAAATTTGCTTTAATAAATCTGTTTAATACAAGATACTTACATGTCCTAGTAACCATTAATTTCAAAGTTTTATACAATTTATATCCAAAGAAAAAAACTAATATAACAGCAAATGTTACAACAGGTTTGAGTACATCTTTGTCAATAATCATTGTCGTTATGAATATTTTTAAAACTTACCTTTAAAAAATTCTCCAGGATAGTCTGGAGGTGGTGATACCATAGGAGAATCCAAGTTTACAATGGATTTCATGACAATTTCTAAAGCATTTCTTCCATACTGCAAAAAAAATCAAAACCTTTAACCACTTTCAGCATTTGGATACTCTTCAATCACATTACCACCTAAATACTATAAAAACTATTGGCTGGGCACGGTGGCTCATGCCTGTAATCCCAGCACTTTGGGAGGTTGAGGCGGGTGGATCCCCTGAGGTTGGGAGTTCAAGATCAACCTGACTAACATGGTGAAACTCCATCTCTACTACAAAAAATTAGCTGGGTGTGGTGGCAGACACCTGTAATCCCAGCTACTCGGAAGGCTGAGGCAGGAGAATCGCTTGAACCTGGGAGGTGGAGGCTGTAGTGAGCCAAGACGGCGTCATTGTGCTCCAGCCTGCGCGACAAGAGCAAAAAACTCTCTCTCAACAAAACCCCCAAAAAACCACAAACTATTATTGTACCAAAGATTCAAAAAAGCAATTCTCAATTATCTTTATACTTATTTATTTTTTCTTCTTTTGGAGACAAGAGTTTTGCTCATCACCCAGGCTGGAGTGTAATGTCACGATCTCCACTCACTGCAACCTCTGCCTCCCGGGTTCAAGCGGTTCTCTGCCTCAGCCTCCCAAGAAGCTGGGATTACAGGTGCCCGTGGCCACCATGCCCAATTTTTTTTTTTCCTTTGACACGGAGTCTTGCTCTGTCGACAGGCTAGAGTGCAGTGGTATAAACTCGGCTCACTGCAACCTCTGTATCCCAGGTTGAAGTGATTTTCCTGCCTCAGCCTCCTGAGTAGCTAGGACTACAGGCTTGAGTCACCACGCCCAGCTAATTTTTCTATTTTTAGTAGAGACAGGGTTTCACCATGTTGGCCAGGATGGTCTCGATCTCTTGACCTCGTGATCCGCCCACCTTGGTCTCCCAAAGTGCTGAGATTACAGGCGTGAGCCACTGTGCCCAGCCACACCCAACTAATTTTTATATAATTTTTTGAGACACAGTTTTGCCCTACTGCCCAGGCTGGAGTGCAGTAGCATGATCTTGGCTCACTGCAACCTCTGCCTCCTAAGTAGCTGGGACTGCAGGTGAGTGCCACCACGCCCAGCTAATTTGCTGTATTTTTAACAGAGATAGGGTTTCACTGTGTTGGTCAGGCTGGTCTCGAACTCCTGACCCTCAGGTGATCCACCTGCCTTGGCCTCCCAAAGTGGTCGGATTACAGGTGTGAGCAACCGATTCCGGCCTAATTTTTGTATTTTTTTTGTATTTTATTTTTTTAGTACAGATGTGGTTGCACCATATTGGCCAGGCTGGTCTCGAACGCCTGACCTCAGGTAATCCACCCACCTGGGCCTCCCAAAGCGCTGGGATTACAGGCATGAGCCATTGCGCCTGGCCTTTATATATATTTTATACTGCCTAATTCATGTCTCTACACATAGCAAACGTGAGAAAAATTAACTTCCTTTACTTCTGAGAACTCAGTTAATTCATTCTCATTTGTTCTTGTTTTCCAAAAGGAATAAAGACAACCACATTGCTGTACTGATACTTAACATGTGATCTAACTTACATGTGAAATTCTGTCTTACAGGAAGTCATGATTTTAAAGCAAATGCATATGAGAGGCAGTTTTGTTTTAGACAGTAACTACCTTTCTTTCACGTTCCCTACAGCTACCATACACTATCACAAGTTTTCAGAGATACTGAAAGTTGAAATGTACCTTATTATCAAAGTTGAACCTGCTCAGATCCCTAGATTCTGTTGCTCTTCTATCGCCATGTGTAAGTGCCCCCTATTAAAACAAAAATTTCAGTCAAGGCACAGGTAACCTTTTACCAGAAAACAGGTACAACAGATCATCTTTTACACACAGCCACACAACTCCAAAACTCACCAAACTCTCAAGTCTTTTAGCAACAATAGATGCAAATCTTTGTTCTCCTGCCAGTTCAGAAATCAGAAAGACATATTCAGGAGCAGTCACTTGGTTTGATCTATGAGTTCGTCCTGCAACGAAATTTTTTTTTAAAGATCATTGATTTTGTTCGCTGAATAGAATATTCTGAGATGTATTCCTAGCATTTAATACTAAACTGGTATTGGGAAACCACTAAACAAGAAAAATTACAGATAATGTTAAATTACCAAAACACACATAAAACTGCTTAATGATAGAAGTATTAGCATTGCTATCCCAATTTTGCTTAACCACATGTTACTGATACACAGTTACTCTGGATTTTCCCACAACTGTTTTTCAAATCATTGGTCACAAGAACATGAAGATGGAGGGAGGAGCTGTGTGCCTTTGGTGAAGCTACTGAGGTTGGAAAAGCATATGGAAGTAGCAGCTTCTGATATGGACCTAATACATCCTTAAATTTTATAAGGACACTCCTTGAGGAGCCCTGTTCTTGGAACCCCACAAATTCCCACCATATATATATTTTTTACAACTTGTAAACAGGCAAAAAATGAATTCATAATGCATCATATACTATAAGGTACATATAACACTCCTTAAATGCAAGATCTGAGATTTCGAGTTATAAGATATAAGACATTGGCCGGGCACGGTGGCTCAAGCCTGTAATCCCAGCACTTTGGGAGGCGGAGGTGAGCAGATCACAAGGTCAGGAGATCGAGACCATCCTGGCCAGCACGGTGAAACCCTCTCTCTACTAAAAAATACAAACAATTAGCCGGGCGTGGTGGTGGGTGCCTGTATTCCCAGCTACTCAGGAGGCTGAGGCAGGAGAATGGCGTGAACCCAGGAGGCGGAGCTTGCAGTGAGCCGAGATTGCGCCACTGCACTCCAGCCTAGGCGACAAAGCGAGACTCCATCTCAAAAAAAAAAAAGACATTAAACAGGATTTGTTGTTGTTGTTGTTAGAGTTTCGCTCTTGTTGCTGAGGCTGGAGTGCAATGGCTCGATCTCAGCTCACTGCGACCTCTGCCTCCTGGGTTCAAGCGATTCTCCTCCCTCAGCCTCCCGAGTAGCTGGGGTTACAGGCATAAGCCACCACACCTGGCTAATTTTGTATTTTTAGTAGAGACAGGGTTTCTCCATGTTGGTCACGCTGGTCGCGAACTCCTGACCTCAGGTAATCCGCCCACCTCAGCCTGCCAAAGTGCTGGGATTACAGGCATGAGTCACTGCGCCCAGCCTGTTTTTGTTTTTTGAGACAAAGTCACACTTTGTCACTCAGGCTGGAGTGCAGCGGTGAAATCATCTCTCACCGCAACCTTGAACTCAAGTAATCCTCCCACCTCAGCCTCCTGAGTAGCTGGGACTACAGGAACATGCCACCACATCCAGCCAATTTTTCTTCTCTTTTCTTTTTTTTTTTTTTTTGAGATGCAATCTCCCTATGTTGCCCAGGCTGGAGTGCAATGGCGTGATCTCAGCTCACTGCAGCCTGCGCCTCCCAGGTTCAAGCGATTCTCTGCCTCAGCCTTCTGAGTAGCTGGGAGTACAGGTGCGTGCCAACACACCCAGTTAATTTTTGTGTTTGTAATTTTAGTAGAGGCTCGGTTTCATCATGTTGACCAGGCTGGTCTCAAACTATTACCTCAAGTGATGCACTCACTTTGGCCTCCTAAAGTGCTGGGGTTACAGGCACAAGTCACTGCTCTCAGCTGTTTTTCTTTTCTTTTGGTAGAGACAGGGTCTCACTATGTTGCCCAGGTTGGTCTCAAACTCCTGGACTCAAGTTATCCTCCCACCGTGGCCTCCCAAAATATTGGGATTACAGGCATTAGCCACTGTGCCTGGCCTAAACCTAGGTTTTGATATGCACAAATTTACCCAATGATTCCTAGCTGGATAATTAAGTGAAATCCAGTTGTAGGAACTTACCGAATTGTTGAATTGCTCTATCAGCGCTCCAGGGTAATTCTAAAGTCATATGAACTCTTCGTCTTTGATTTTTAGCTCTCCTATCTGCTTGTAATGAAATACCTGAGCTGGCAGCTTCTGAGATGATAGCAATATTCTGTGTCAAATATAAGAAAAATAAAGTCACCTTTGCGTAAGAACAAGCAGGCCAGTGCCTTAAATGAAGTCCTTCAGCAGACTGCTTACATTCTCCTTCTTTCTCAACAATAAGACTCCCAATTTTATTTCCCAGTCTCCCTTACAGCTAAGTGTGAACATTCTCCAGTCAGCAAGGTGTAGGTAAAATGTATGATGCACAGGAAATGTCCTTAAAAGCAGGCGACATGCCCTTCTCATCCCCTTGTCTCCTCTCTTTTAGGTAAAATGTAGAGGTAGTGACAGAGTCTGAAGCAGGTATCTTGGAATACAAAGGTAACTTGGAAATGGAGGCCCACGTAATTTAATGAACAACACGGAAGGTGCCTGGGCTTCAAGGGGGCATACAAGCCCTGCTCCACCTACCCAAATGTGTCCATGAGAGAAATAATCTTCTCTCTTATTGAAACCAATACTTAACAGACTTTGTATTTTCTGTTATTTAGCAACCAAAACTAATTCCAACTAATGTAATTCCTAATGCATAAGGGTGTAGATTAATGAAGCAATTACATAAAATAACTAATACCTGTACCCACAATCTTGAAAATATGTATCATTAGCTTTTTGTATATATGTATTTTTTGAGACAGGGTCTCACTCTGTCACACAAGCTGGAGTGCAGTGGTGCAATCATAGCTCTCTACAGTTTTCACCTCTCAAGCTCAAGCGATCCTTTCACCTCAGCCTCCCAGTAGCTGGGACTGTGGGCATGTACCACCATGTGACTATTTTCCCTGTACGGGGGGAGCAGGGGTCCCACTATGTTGCCCAGGCTGGTCTCAAACTCCTGTAATCCTACCACTTTTGAGGGGTTGAAGTGAATGGATCGTTTGAGGTCAGGAGTTCAAGACCAGCCTGGCCAACATGGCAAAACCCTGTCTCTATTAAATACACAAAAATTAGCCAGGTGTGGTGGTGTGTGCCTGTATTCCCAGCTACTTAGGAGGCTGCGGCAGAGAACTGCTTGAACCCGGGAGGTGGAGGTGGCAATGAGCCGAGATTGCACCACTGCATTCCAGCCTGGGGGACAAAGTGATGGTCCTTCTCAAACAAACAAAAAGTCTACAGAAAGAGTCTCTGGGTCAGCACAGTAGCTCACGCCTATAATCTCGGCATTTTGGGAGGCAGAGGTGGGCACATCACTTGAGGTCAGGAGTTCAAGAGAAGCCTTGTCAATATGGTGAAACCTGTCTGTCAAAAAATACAAAAATTAGCCAGGCGTGGAGGCGCGTGCCTATAGTCCCAGCTACTCGGGAGGCTGAGGCACGAGAATCACTTTGACCCAGTTGAGATCACGCCACTGCACTGCACTCTAGCTTGGGCAACAGAGTGAGACTCTGTCTCAAAAAAAAAAAAAAAAAAAAAAAAAAAAACAAAGAGTCTCTGGAGGCACCCAAAATCTCTACAATGGTTGGATATGAGAATGTAATCTATAAGCCATTTACAGTAAATCATCTTAATATAAAATGATACAGCAATAAAATACACAGTGAAACCAAAGTTACTAGTAATATGGACACACATAAATATTTTAGACTCAAAATCAGAATGACACTACAATGACATTAGATGTCACAACACCAAGACGAACTAAGAGAACTTTTTTTTTTTTTTTTTTGAGACAGTTGCCCAGGTTGGAGTGCAATGGTGCAGTCTTGGCTCACTGCAACCTCCGCTTCCCAGGTTCAAGCTATTCTGCTGCCTCAGCCTCCTGAGTAGCTGGGACTACGGGCACCTGCCACCATGCCCGACCAATTTTTGTATTTTTAGTAGAGGTGGGGTTTCACCATGTTTGCCAGGCTGGACTTGAACTCCTGACCTCATGATCCGCTCGTCTTGGCCTCCCAAAGTGCTGGGATTACAGGCATAAGCCACCATGCCCGGCGTGAACGAAGTGTTTTACATCATGATTAAATATTTCAAAAGCCTCCAAAGCACTCAAGAGCCATATCTAATTCTATGCATTATACACAATATTTATTACATTCAATGATAAAATAATAAAAACATGTAAAATATTCAGTGAGTAAGGGAAATTACTAAAAAACTATGCGTAATAGCTCTGTTGCCCAGGCTGGAGTGTAATGGTGCGATCTCGGCTCACTGCAACCTGCGCCACCAAGGGTTAAGCTATCCTCCCACCTCTGCCTTCTGAGCAGCTGGGACTACAGGCATGCACTACCACACCCAGCTCATTTTTTGTATTTTCAGTAGAGACAGGGTTTCACCATGCTACCCAGACTGGTCTCAAACTCCAGAGCTCAAATGATCTACCCGCCCTGGCCTCCCAAAATGCTGGGATTACAGGCCTGAGCCACTGCACCTGGCCAATATTTATTATATTTAATGACAAAATAATAAAAACACATACAATATTCAGTATGTACAATTACTAAAAAATACAGAATGACAATACTCAATGGACATAACTTATATTAAAAGGAAAAAAACTCTTCTGAAGCTTAATCTAAATATACGGGAATTGTTCTTTTCACTGAGAAGCATCCTAGGTAAAACATACCTTATCTCCATCCATAAATCGTTGTTTTTCTGTGATGTTTAGTATTTCCACAGGCACATCAAGTTCAGATCTTGACTCATAAGATATGCTTCCATCATCGTTGCTCACAACCCGTCCCTTGCGGCCGGTCATCTGAGAAGCCAAACAATGTCATTACAATGAAGGTATCTGACTGCGATGGATGGACTCAGTGCCTCTCTCCTTAAAGACACTTGGGAGATAAGAGCACGGGCTGTGCTGCACCAGGCACTGAAGGATACAGAACACTGTAACATAGTCCCTGGAAAAAGCTTGACACATGGCCACGATCACAAAAGATGCGTGACAAGTGCAGTAACTAGGACCAGTGGCTTGGGACAGACACTCAGATACTGGAGGCAGCAGTTCATTGGGTGCAGGATGGCAACAAAAGTAGAACAAGAACTCTATGATCTAAGAAATTTAGATTATTATGTGATAATACTATCAATGCAACTCATTTTACAGGGGTTCAAATGGCAAAAATGTCACCAAGAGATACAGGCCTATTTACCTCAGCAACGTTCTCAGGGCCACCAAGTTCATCGATAAGTTCATCCAGGGTATTAGGGGGGAGGTCTTCAGCTAATTTTTCTAACTTATCAAGCAGGTCTTTCTTCATCTGCTGAGCCCTTTCCACAGCATCCTGACTTGTTATAAGGCTATTGTTACTGTTGGTGGTACTGTTAGCTAGGTAAAGAACATTTGTTAAAACTTAGTACAAAGTTTAAATATTTTTGTTTAAAAGAGTATTTCAAAAAGGAAGTTTCTATATGGATACCTGGTGTACTGTTAGGAGCAGGTGAGATAACTGGTGTAGATGAAAAACTAGGTCGTTTTGATCCAAGACCTGATGCTAATAAGGCACTTTGAATAGAATCTGGATCTATACTTTTCTTCTTTTTTTTCTCTTTGTTTTTCTTGTGGTCTTTTCTGATTAACCAGGGATCTGAGTGTTAAGGAAAGATATATGTCAAATCACTTGTTAAAACAAGTACAGAATCTTCAAAGGAAACAGCCTTTGAAATTTTTTCTTTTTTGAGACAGAGTTTCACTCTTGTTGCCCAGGCTGGAGTGCAATAGCGCAATCTCGGCTCACTGCAACCTCCACATCCCAGGTTCAAGTGATTATCCTGCCTCAGCCTCCGAGTAGCTGGGATTACAGGCATGTGCCACCACACCCGGCTAATTTTGTATTTTTAGTAGAGACAGGGTTTCTCCATGTTGGTTAGGCTGGTCTCGAACTCCCAGCCTCAGGTGATCCGCCCACCTCAGCCTTCCAAATTGCTGGCATTACAGGCATGATGAAATTTTTTATAGTGTTAACTGATAATTGATCACTACCTACATTAGTCATCCATACACCATAGGGTACAAATCCACGTTTTCAAGTTAAAAATAACTGCACAAAATTGAGGTTATCTTATCACATATATGAGGCTGAAACCTCCAGAAGGTAGATAAGCCTGGAGCTCTCCACCAAGCAAAGATTAGAATCTGTGTGATCATTTGTACTGTATAGAAGAAAAGGTTTCATATCCCATTTTCAAATACACTGAAATATTAATTATGCCTTAGTGCATATTTAATATACTGAACTTACCATTTTCATCATCCTCACTAGACTCATCTCTAAATGGGTTGAAATCGTCATCATCTCCAGAACTCATGTTTTTAGAGCTCTCATAGTCACTTTCTTCATTATCAGAGGCATCAGATTCACTTCCACTGTCATCAGAACTGCTACCAGCAAGGCCACCTACTTTTCGTGCTTTTTTGGCTTCTCGAGTTATTTCTTCACCTACCCCCAGTCACAAACAAGAGGGTCAGCCCAAATTCAATGTTTCTTAAGATCCAGTACATCATATTTAGTTCACGAATTAATTCAAATGAAAAGTGCAGAGGAAAAGTATTTATGTAAGTCAAAGAACAAACAGAATTCACAAGTCAGTGCAACCTTTTGGACTCCCATAAAAAATAAGGTTATAAACATTTATTCTGAAGAAGAGACTGGATACAGAAGTACTAAGTCAAGACTGCCTTCAAGTGTACCAGTTTCAAAACAAATTCAGGACAACAGAGTAAAAGCAGAAACTCTGGCATAGTCACAATTTGTGTATCGGATTTGAGAAGAGGCCTAATAATTATAGGTTTATAGACACAGAATACTTAGAAAATCAACAGAAAATCAATTTATAAAACTTTTTTATTTTTGGAGATAGGGCCTCACTCTGTTGCCCAGCCTGGAGTGCAGTGTCACAATCATAGCTCACTGCAGCCTCAACTTCCCTGGCTCATGTGATCCTCCCACCTCAGCCTCTCAAATACCCGGGACTACAGGCACATGCCACCATGACCAGATATTTTTTTTCCCAGTGTCTCACTCTGTCTCCCAGGCTAAAGTGCAGTGGCATAATCTTGGCTCACTGCAACCTCCACCTGCCGAGTTCAAGTGATTCTAATATCTCAGCCTCCCGTGTAGCTGGGATTATGAAGCACCCTGCCACCAGGCCCGGCTAAGTTTTGTATTTTAAGTAGTGATGGGGTTTCGCCATATTGGCCAGGCTGGCCTTGAACTCCTGACCTCAGGTGAGCCACCTGCCTCAACCTCCCAAAGAGCTGGAATTACAGGCGTGAGCCACCATGCCCAGCAAGAAGTCAACTTCTAAAATCCAAACAGGGCTAGGTGGGATGGCTCACACCTGTAATCCCAGCACTTTGGGAGGCCCAGGCAGGCACACTGCTTAAGCTCAGTAGTTCAAGACCAGCCTGGCTAACATGGGGAAACCCCGTCTCTACTAAAAATACAAAAATTAGCAGGGCACGGTGGTGCATCCCTGTAATCCCAGCTCCTTGAACCCAGGAGGCAGAGTTGCAGTGAGCCAAGATGGTGCCACTGCACTCCAGCTCAGGTGACGGGGACCCTGTCACCAAAAAAAAAAAAAAAAAAAGGGCTCTTTTAAAGAAGACTACTGAAACACCCAGCTCTCTATATATTAAAAAACAGGTTTCACAATATACAAAGACACAGGTTTTAGTTCCCATGCATCATTAACTATCTCTGTCAACCTAGGAAAACTCTTTAACCTTTAAATCTTTCTGTGCTTTAGTGACCTCTATCTATAAAACTGGAAAAATAAGATCTAATTTCATATGGACCTCTGCCAGGTTATATGGTAGAATGTATATAGCCAAGTGCTTAACACACAGCCAACCACCAGTGAATTGCTCAATTCCTAATTTAAAACGGGGATAACTTGTGCATTCAAAATTGTACAAGTTGGCCGGGCGCGGTGGCTCAAGCCTGTAATCCCAGCACTTTGGGAGGCCGAGACGGGTGGATCACGAGGTCAGGAGATCGAAACCATCCTGGCTAACACGGTGAAACCCCGTCTCTATTAAGAAATACAAAAAACTAGCCGGGCGAGGTGGCGGGCGCCTGTAGTCCCAGCTACTCGGGAGGCTGAGGCCAGAGAATGGCGTGAACCCGGGAGGCGGAGCTTGCAGTGAGCTGAGATCCGGCCACTGCACTCCAGCCTGGGCGACAGAGCGAGACTCTGTCTCAAAAAAAAAAAAAAAAAAAATTGTACAAGTGACAGTGAAAATTTGGAATCATTTGTGAATTCATGGAAGGCAGTTCATTCCCAAAATATAGCCACTTTCAAATGCTTATGTTTGTGGTATTTTCGACATCAACTATTCTTTTCTTTTTTTTTTTTTTTTTTTTTTTTTTTTTTGAGACGGAGTCTTGCTCTGTCACCCAGGCTGGAGTGCAGTGGCGCAATCTCGGTTCACTGCAAACTCTGCCTCCCAGGTTCACGCCATTCTCCTGCCTCAGCCTCCCAAGTAGCTGGGACTACAGGCGCCCACCATGACACCCGGCTAATTTTTTGTATTTTTAGTAGAGACGGGGTTTCACCGTGTTAGCCAGAATGGTCTCAATCTCCTGACCTTGTGATCTGCCCGCCTCAGCCTCCCAAAGTGCTGGGATTACCTATTTTTCCTTTTTTAAAGTACTCACCTTTCCGCTTCTTTATTTTATTTTCTTTACAAGGACTATCTCTTGGTGAACTGTTGTTACTTGGAGCTGTCAAATCGATTCCTAGCAAACTATAAAGTTTTTTCCTGTCTGGAGCAGGAAAATGTTTTTCAATGAGTGACTGCAACACACCTCTGTAGAAGAAAAACAGCAACAATTACTGCTTCAGTTGACAAAGTAATTATATGTAAAGTCTTATTAAATATATTGAAATATACCTTGCTCAGTTTTACAAAATATTGATAAACAAGCTCAAATAAATTTTAATTTTCTAGCCCAAGGCTGTCCAACTAAATAAGAACGCAAACCAAACCACATACACAATTATTACATTTTCTGATCGCTTACATTAAAAAAGTAAAAATAAATAAAACTGGTGGAACTAACTTTAATAATACATGTTATTTAACTCAATGTACCATGTCAACACATATATTTTACATTATTTTTTCTTAAGGAGTCTTTGAAACCTGGTTCAGTACACACATACAAAAACATCTCAATATGGACCGGTCATTTCAACTGCTCAATAGCCACATGTGATGAGAGGCTGCCGTTCCGGACACGATAGTTCTAGGTAATCATGTACAGAAAAATATAGATTAGCAGGCATATGTCTTGCTTTTTTTTTTTTTTTTTTTTGAGACAGCGTCTTTGTCACCCCCGGCTGGAGTGCAATGGTCCAATCTCGGCTTACTGAAACCTCCACATCCTGGGTTCAAGCAATTCTCCTGCCTCAGCCTCTCAGGTGCCCGCCACCATGCCTGGCTAATTTCTGTTATTTTTAGTAGGACGGGGTTTCACCGTATTGGCCAAGCTGGTCTCAAACTCCTGACGTCTGGTGATTCACCCGACTCAGCCTCCCAAAGTACTTGGATTACAGGGGATGAGCCTCATGTATTGCTTATAAAAGGAGCATCTGAATGCATCCCGAGGCACAAAATAATAGAGCAGGAAGTTTATTTTGCTCAATTTACTACCAGAGTTTGAATCTGGAGGTTAGGCAAACTAAAAACAATGCCTAAAACATTTTAAAATCTATTTCTGAAGATCTCATGCTTATTTTCAACTTTATAGTAGACTTTCTTTTTTTTTTTATTTTTGAGACAGGGTCTCACTCTGCTGCCCAGAGTGGAGTGGAGTGGTGCTCACTGCAACCTCCACCTCCCAGGTTCAAGGGATTCTCCTGTCTCAGCCTCCCAGGTAGGTGGGACTACAGGGCATGTGCCACCATGCCCAGCTAATTTTTGTACTTTTACTAGAGATGGGGTTTCATCATTTTGGCCAGGCTGGTCTCGAACTACCAACCTTAAATGATGCACCCACCTCGGCCTCCTAAAGTGCTGAGCTTACAGGTGTGAGGCACCACGCTCAGTCAACTTATAAAGTAGACTTCGTTACATGAGGACGAACTACAGTTACTGTTCCTGTAGATAATGGTAATTTCAAATACAGAACACTAAAACTGAAACTAAACCAAGCTGTCACAGATTTCCAAGATGTACAAGACAGACAAAACCAAGCCCTTCTGTTAGTTCACATACTCTATGTAATATTGGCAAAACGCTTAACATTTTAGGATTATAAGATTTCTGGTATTGTTTTCCAACAGATACACCGTCACAGAAAAGCAGAAAACTCAGATCAAGAAAACTCAAAGATGATGCAGGTGAATCAAAAGTTTTGTCTCCAGGCAATGCCCACATTGGAACTAATCTAAGTAAGAACTCAAAAAGAAAAACAAAAACATTACTTGGCAGTTGAAACAAAATCATTCAATTCTCCCCCGCCCTCTTCCAAAGCTTCTAATGTTCTAGCTTCTCCTGTAGACTGTAGACCAATTACAACACACTGGAGAAAAAAGAAAACATGTTAATTACAAATAATGTTTGTGGTTTCTTACCAAGACATATTTTAAATATTTAGCTAAACAAAGATTTCAAACAAGAATGTCCCCATTATTATAAAACACACATTTGTTTTACTTATTTCTTCTATATATTTGAGACAGGTTATATGTCAAAAATTGAGGCAGGAGACAGGATTACAGACAGTAGTAAGCAAGAGTGAAGCACCTGCCCTTGTAGAGTTTATAGTATCTTATCCTTTAAGTAGATAAACATTCACCAAAAAGAAAAAACCTTAATGCAATACACATCCATATGCTACCAGTGCTACCAGCTATGGATGACCAATAATAGTGATGTTTACTTTGTTATACTTTTCTGAACTCTCTAAATTCTCTAAACAGGCATTGCTTTTATAATTTTAGGAAATGTGTTTTTTAAAAGTTCGACTATCCTTTAGGAAAACCCGATTTTACAAGCAGAAAACCTCAGCACCCACAAAGACTAAACAACATAACCCAAAACCAATAAATCTCTTACTGTGTTCTTCTACTTACTTTTCCATTCTTGATTTCCTCTCGAGCTAGCTGCACAACCCTTTTAACTTTGGATGCTATGCATAAGTATTTGAAGAACCTCTGGTGAGCAGACCAGAACTGACCCCACATGGACTTCTTCATTCGTTGCTCGGCATCAATCAGATCTGCAGCTTGCTGAAACCGCTCTCTGGCGATGACCCACTGAAGATACACAATCAACATTTTAGACACTTCATCTTTGAGTCTAGTTATTTAAAAATACCAATTGAATCGGCCGGGCGCGGTGGCTCAAGCCTGTAATCCCAGCACTTTGGGAGGCCGAGACGGGCGGATCACGAGGTCAGGAGATCGAGACCATCCTGGCTAATACGGTGAAACCCCGTCTCTACTAAAAATACAAAAAACTAGCCGGGCGAGGTGGCGGGCGCCTGTGGTCCCAGCTACTCGGGAGGCTGAGGCAGGAGAATGGCGGGAACCCGGGAGGCGGAGCTTGCAGTGAGCTGAGGTCCGGCCACTGCACTCCAGCCCGGCGACAGAGCGAGACTCCGTCTCAAAAAAAAAAAAAAAAAAAAAAAAAAAAAAAAAAAAAAAAAAAAAAAAAAAAAAAATACCAATTGAATCAAAATAATGTTAAGTGCAAGACCATTTAATATTAATTTAATAAATCATCTTTAGTAACTTGGGAATCTATTTCTCAGGATACTCACACAGTTGTCTCAAGTTTCTTATTACCTAATGCAGTTATTTTACAAAATAATGTGATTTTAAGAACTACGCGGCCGGGCGTGGTGGCTCACGCCTGTAATCCCAGCACTTTGGGAGGCCGAGGTGGGCGGATCACAAGGTCAGGAGATCGAGACCATGGTGAAACCCCGTCTCTACTAAAAATAGAAAAAATTAGCCGGGCGCAGGGGCGGGCGCCTGTAGTCCCAGCTACTCGGGAGGCTGAGGCAGGAGAATGGCGTGAACCCGGGAGGCGGAGCTTGCAGTGAGCCGAGATTGCGCCACTGCACTCCAGCCTGGGCGACAGAGCGAGACTCCGTCTCAAAAAAAAAAAAAAAAAAAAAAAAAAAAAAAGAACTACGCAACTGAAATAAATGGCTCTAACTTATGAATTACCTTAACAAAATGAAAACATGGAAAATCTGAAATATAAGAACATTGGTTAGACCAGGCGCAGTGGCTGAGGCCTGTAATCCCAGCACTTTGGGAGGCTAAGGCAGGTGAATCACTTGAGCCCAGATCCGGCTGGGCAACACTGTAAAACCTCATCTCTGCCAAAAAATACAAAAATTAGCCAGGCACGGTGGCACGTGCCTGCAGTCCCTGCTACTCAGGAGGCAGTGTTGGGAGGACTCCTTGAACCTGGTTGGTAGAGGTTGCAGTAAGCCAAGATCACACCACTGTACTCCAGTCTGGGTGACAGAGTAAGACCCTGCCTCAAAAACAAAAAACAAAAAACCACATTGGTTAAACAGCCTATCATCTGGTAACTCATCTGGTTTGTTTTGTTTTGTTTTTGTTTTTGTTTTGCGATGGAGTCTCCCTCTGTTACCCAAGCTGGAGTGCAGTGGCACAATCTTGGTTCACTGCAACCTCCGCCTCCTGGGTTCAAGCAATTCTCCTGCCTCAGCCTCCCCAAGTAGTTGGCACTACAGGCGCGTGCCACCATGCCTGGCTATATTTTTTTCCGTACTTTTAGTAGAGATGAGGTTTCAACATGTAGGCCAGGCTGGTCTCGAACTCTTGACCTCAGGTGATCCGCTCGCCTCAGCCTCCCAAGTGCTGGGATTACAGGCATGAGCCACAGCGCCTGGCTTCATCTGTTGTTTTATAGCAGAAATACATTCCCACGGGCAGGAGGCATCACAATCACCAAAACTAACAGAAACATTATCAGATACATTAAATAAACACTAGGAAAGAAGAAAAATTCCTCACCAGCTTGACGGCTTTGTTATACATTTTAACATAGCTCTGAGAAAGAAGAACTTCCTCAATTTTGAAGGTCACTCCAGTAAAGCTCAGCTGTCGAGCAATGTACATTCCTCTAAGCTTCATATCCATAGCAACTATTTCCATGGCACCAACTCCTCTGAATAAAATTAAAACATACAGTAACTACCAATAAAGTAGAATTTTAACATACAGAGAACGGGCTTTAGGAATAACACATTTCTTAGATTGCTACTGAAAACAGTATATACCGTAAACTGCATTACCTCCGTTCTACTGCTTGAATAAAATCACTGAATTCTCTAAATGGAGTACCCTCACCCCATATGCCAAGACGGTTCATATAGGCCATGTTGCGTGGTTCAGAAGCACCTGAAAATCCCACAAATGAAATATATTATAGTTGAAACAATAACCTACAATATATATTTTTAAATAAATAACTACTCACCAGTTGCACTAGCATAAACAACTCTGGCTTTTGGCAATTTGTTCTGAAGCTCTAAAACTGCTAAGCCTGTCTTGGTTGGCTTTGAAGAACCAACAGGACATAAGTTTTTGGCTTTATGACACTCATCAAACACTATCTAAATGGAATGAATTAAGGAATGTACCACGTCAGTATTAAGTATCTCCAGTCTTTCAAGAAGAGTTAACTTTTATTTCCCTGAGGCCTTCTGATTGTCTACTTTATGACTACAAATACACAGGAAGTCCTATGGGCCTTTCCCCAGTTACATCCTCCTCCCTCTCTAGCCTCAAAGACATTCACTGAATTTGGAATTTATCTAAACCAGCAATTTGCTTCTAAATTAAAACAGAGAAAAGAACCCACTGCAGCAAGAAGTTGTTATTTGGTAACTTATATCAGCAGAAGCATGATTGGTAACCAACTTAATCAGCATTTCAAAAAGTGACGTTCCTCATGCAGGACAGTTAAAAGACATACTGTGAACAAGTTTGGGACCACTAAGTTCTAACAGTTTTCTTTCTCTGAATCTTCTCGGGTATTCTGCTATGTAAATATGCAATGTTAATCCTCAAAAGTGGAATACAATATTCAGTATTCCTCATATCTATTAACATTTTTCCAAACCAGGAGGTTAGTTTCCTATCTGACAGGTAAAAAACCGAATCAACTTTCCAATCCCTTTGTACTCTAGGTAATCATTGAAGTTTACACTCCAGCAGTTCGTTTAATCTCAAGATTCCTGTTTCCCAAAAGTCTACCCTTTTACAATTTTGTTATCATTAAAAAATAGAAAAATATTTGCCATAAAGGATACCACTCCATCGAAGTCATCACCACACCAATGCAGAAGTTGTTTTAACCTAGTTTTGTACTTGCCGCCAGACTGGCTTTCACCAATAAGTGAAGAGTAAGTAGCAAAAATAACACCCTTTTTCACACTCCCATTATGTTTGGAAGAAATTTTTCCATATTTAAACTAAAAAAGAAAAGAAAATAATTTAGTTAATTAGCATACCTTTCTCTCTGAAACACTTATCCCAACTAAACATTCACAAGCTGGAACTCTTGTTAGGCCCATGACAGGATTCAGAAAACACAAAAGTACAAGGAGACACAAATTTCTTTGTATAGATGTATATAACACAAACACACAACTTTATAGTACAAAAATCCAGTTTTTGGTAGGGCACAGTGGCTCACGCCTGTAATCCCAACACTTTGGGAGGTCAAGGTGGGTGGATCGCTTGAGCTCAGGAGTTCAAGAACAGCCTGGCGAATATAGTGAAACCCCATCTCTGCAAAAAATACAAAAATTAGCCAGGCATCATGGCGCATGTCTGTAGTCCCAGCTACGCCAGAGGCTGAGGTGGGAGAATTGCTTGAGCCTGGGAGACAGAGGTTGCAGTGAGCCGAGATTGCGCCACTGCACTTCAGTCTGGGAGACAGAGCTGAGATCTTTAAAAAAAAAAAAAAAATCCAGTTTTCAAAGTCTTAAAAACTTTATTACCACGAAAAAACATTAAAAACCAGACAAACTCCCCTATAAGAAAAAAAAAGTCACAACTTACATTTATTGTGCACTTACTATATGCAAAACACCGTGATTAATTTCTCATACATAAGAATTATGAGTAGTTGTTAATGCGCCCTTCTAATACTACTCTGAAATAAAAAAAAAAAATTCTAGATGCCAGTTACATCCTTTTAGTTCTGAACTATACACAGTCATTCAAGACACAGTATTTTACAGCCACAAATCCACCCAGTAAAAACCCACCCTAACAAGCCAGTTTAGGGCAACTGAATTCAACTTAGGACTCGCATGGGAAGTAGAGGTGCAGTTACTTATTTTCAAAGGGCTACTAGGGAGGCCCTTCCAGGAACCCTATAAGTCTATTTTAACCTTATAACACCAACAATTGGTGCATGCAGAGTAAGTCAATAAAGATTTGCTAACTGAACCTTAACATTCTAAAACACACTGGTACATGTTGTCTTTCACCTTACAGAACTGTTTTCACATGAGCAGAGGTATGGGTAACTCAAGTCCATTAGCTGTAAAAATACTGAAACCGGTCTGCCCAAGCCATAACTATCTACATCACATAGGATTTGGAGACCTATAGTGCAAGGTATCCCAACTGTCTACACTGCACCCTTATGACATATAAACTATAGAAGACAGACACAAGTAACACTGAACACTGAGAGAATCGACTGGTGTGCACTGTACACTTAGAGCACATCTCAATGTGGACTGGTCATTTACACTGCTCAATAGCCACATGTGATGAGTGGCTACTGCGTCAGTGTTTAGCACACAGGAATCCACAAACCAACAATAGTGGCTAGCACTCACTATGCTTTTTGTGGAGTAACATCAAAGTTTTCCAAAAAGTTTCCCCTTATATAGATAGCTATTATTATTCTCATCTCACAGATGAGTCAATATTTATTGAATGACCAACTGAATAAAAAGATTTCATACCTTATTTAATGAATGAACCAAAATGTTTTTTGCTCCAATATCCCTTAAATCTCTTTCAGCATCATACTTTAAGTCATTTGAAACACTAAACCTGCCAAAATATTAAAAAGCACAAATTAAATACAAATTATACCATTCTAGAATTCAGAAATTAATAAAGCCAGGTCGTGACACTTCAAAAAAAAAAAAAAAAAAAAAAGAAAAATACACTCACTCATTGAAACCAATCCCACTGAGTGCAGTGGCTCACAACCATAATCCCAGCACTTTGGGAGCCTGAGGCAGGAGGACTGCCTGAGCCCAGGAGTTCAAGACCAGCCTGGGCAACACAACAAGAGCCCATATCTACAAAAAATTAGCCAAGCATGGTAGTATACGCCTGTAGTCCCAGCTACTCAGGAGGCTGAGGCAGGAGAATTGCTTGAGCTCCAGTGGTAGAGGCTGCAGTGAGCCAGGAATGTGCCACAGCACTCCAGTCTGGGTGACAAAGACTCTGTCTTGACGGGAAGGGGGAACCCATCCCCAGATGCTAAAGTAATTATTCACTAACAAAAGCTTCCACAGCCAGTTTTGTTTTTTGTTGTGTTTTTTTTTTTTTTTTGAGGCGGAGTCTCGCTCTGTCGCCCAGGCTGGAGTGCAGTGGCACGATCTAGGCTCACTGCAAGCTCCGCCTCCCGGGTTCCCGCCATTCTCCTGCCTCAGCCTCCCGAGTAGCTGGGACTACAGGCGCCGCCACCACGCCCGGCTAATTTTTTTGTATCTTTAGTGGAGACGGGGTTTCATTGTGTTAGCCAGGATGGTCTTGATCTCCTGACCTCGTGATCCGCCCGTCTCGGCCTCCCAAAGTGCTGGGATTACAGGCTTGAGCCACCGCGCCCGGCCTTTTTTTTTTTTTTTTTTTGAGACGGAGTCTCGCTCTGTCGCCCAGGCTGGAGTGCAGTGGCGCGATCTCGGCTCACTGCAAGCTCCGCCTCCCGGGTTCACGCCATTCTCCTGCCTCAGCCTCCCGAGTAGCTGGGACTACAGGAGCCCACAACCGCGCCCGGCTAATTTTTTGTATTTTTAGTAGAGACGGGGTTTCACCGTGGTCTCGATCTCCTGACCTTGTGATCCGCCCGCCTCGGCCTCCCAAAGTGCTGGGATTACAGGCGTGAGCCACCGTGCCCGGCCTTCTTTTTTCTTTTTGAGATGGTGTCTCACTGTCACCCAGGCTGGAGTGCAGTAGCGAGATCTCGGCTCACTGCAAACTCTGCCTCCCGGATTCACGCCATTCTCCTGCCTCAGCCTCCTGAGGAGCTGGGACTACAGGCACCAACCACGACGCTTGGCTAATTTTTTGTATTTTTAGTAGAGATGGAGTTGCATCGTTGTTAGCCAGGATGGTCTCCATCTCCTGACCTTGTGATCGGCCACGCCCAGCCCAGAGGTAAGTTTTTAAACACTTACCACAATGCTCGTTTTCTACTCAACAAATAATTTTCATAGATGATTCCTGCTATCGTCCTTCCTTTTCCTACACCAGCACCATCACCTATTAAGAAGCCAGCACGATCTCCATTAGGTAGGAAAGTTTCATGTTGCTGAAAAACAAAAAGCTGGTAATTAATATAATCCTTCAGATATTTTGGTGATCAATCTTTCATACACTGTTTTTAGGAATAGAAGTATATTGATGTTATCTGTTTTTTGTTTCGTATATATATTTTGTGACTTTGTTTTTACATAAATTTCATACAGTTTTGGATTTTTTTTTTTTTTTTTTTGAGATGGAGTCGTGCTCTGTCGCCCAGGCTGGAGTGCAGTGGTGCAATCTCGGCTCACTGCAAGCTCCGCCTCCCGGGTTCACGCCATTCTCCTGCCTCAGCCGCCTGAGTAGCTGGGGCTACACGCACCCGCCACCACGCCCGGCTAATTTTTTGTATTTTTAGTAGAGACGGGGTTTCACCACGTTAGCTAGGATGGTCTCGATCTCCTGACCTCGTGATCCGCCCGCCTCAGCCTCCCAAAGTGCTGGGATTACAGGCGTGAGCCACCACGCCCGGCCAAATTTCAAAGTTTTGGCTTTTTTTTTTTTTTTTTGAGATGAAGTCTCGCTATGTCACCAGGCTGAAGTGCAATGGCATAATCTTGGCTCACTGCAACCTCCGACTCCCTACTGAAGCTATTTTGCTGCCTCAGCCTCCCGAGTATCTGGGATGACAGGCAGGCGCCACCACGTCCAGTTAATTTTTTGTATCTTTAGTAGATGGGTTTCACTGTGTTGACCAGGATGGTCTCGATTTCCTGACCTCATGATGCGCACGCCTCGGCCTCCCAAAGTGCTGGGATTACAAGCGTGAGCCACCATGCTCAGCTTAATGTGGATACTTTCTACATATTTACTGTATATTATTTCCTGCTACTCTCCCATGCATCAGGTAATTAAAGTTAACCAACTGGTGAGCCCGCCTACTCCCCTCATCAACACTTGCAGAATCAAATAGAAAGTTTTTTTTTTGGAGGCAGAGTTTCGCTCTTGTTGCCCAGGCTGGAGTGCAATGGCACAATTTCGGCTCACCGCAACCTCCGCCTCCTGAGTTCAAGCGATTCTCCTGCCTCAGCCTCCCAAGTAGCTGGGATTACAGGTGTGTGCCACCACGCATGGCTAGTTTTGTATTTTAAGTAGAGACGGGGTTTCACCATGTTGGCCAGGCTGTTCTCAAACTCCTGACCCACCCGCCTCAGCCTTCCAAAGTGCTGGGATTATAGGCGTGAGCCACCACACACGGCCAGTGGTTTGTTTGTTTGTTTTTGAGACAGTCTCAGCTCATTGCAACCTCCACATCCTGGATTTAAGCGACTCTCCTTAGGTTCGCGAGTAGCTGGGATTACAGGTGTGCACCACCATGCCTGGCTAATTTTTGTATTTTTGGTAGAGACAGGGTTTCACCACGCTGGCCAGGCTGGTCTCAAACTCCTGACCTCAGGATGACCCAACTGACTCGGCCTCCCAAACTGCTGGGACTGGGCCGGGCGTGGTGGCTCACGCCTGTAATCCCAGCACTTTGGGAGGCTGAGGTGGGTGGATCATGAGGTCAGGAAATCGAGACCATCCTGGCTAACATGGTGAAACCCCATCTCCACTAAAAGTAGAAAAAATTAGCCAGGTGTGCGAGGCGGAGGCTTCAGTGAGCCTAGATTGCACCACTGCACTCCAGCCTGGGTGACACAGCGAGACTCCGTCTCAAAAAAAAAAAAAAAAAAAAAAAAAAAATGCTGGGATTACAGGCGTGAGCCACCACGCCCAGCCAAATTAAAAGTTTTGTATCACACAAAATATGGAGGATAAATGGCTATTTTGGTCATTACTTATTTTACAGATATGGAATATGACTGAAATCACTTCAAGACAACTGTTTAACTCTACCTCACATCATTTTAAAAGCCCACACAACACCCCACAGTCCAATAATATCACAGTTTATGCAATCACCCCCCAACAATGTGGATGCTCAAATCTTTTCCAGCTGGGGGGACCAAAGGTACAACAAATATCATTCTGCATATGTTCTTATCTACAGTTCTAGGGAACACACTCCTAGGAATGGGTATATATACACACACACACATATACATATATGTAATTTATTTTTTTTTTTTTTTGAGACAGGGTCTTGTTCCCATCACCCAGGCTAGAGTGACAAGATCACAGCTTATTGCAGCCTTGACTTCCCTGGCTGAGGTGATTCCCCTACCTCAGCCTCCCGAGAAACTGGGACTATAGGCGCATGCCACTACACTCAGCTAATTTTTTGTATTTTTAGTAGACATGATGTTTCACCATGTTACCCAGACTGGTCCTGAACTCCTGGGCTCAAGCACCCAGCTCAGCCTCCCAAAGTGCTGGGATTGCAGAAATGAGGCACTGCGCCTGGTCGACGTACTTTCTTCTTTTTTTTTTTTGAGACAGAGTCTCGCTCTGTTGCCTAGGCTGGAGTGCTATGGCGCCATCTCAGCTCACTGCAAGCTCCGCCTCCAAGGTTCAAGCCATTCTCCTGCCTCAGCCTCCCGAGTAGCTGGGACTACAGGTGCCCGCCACCACGTCCTGCTAATTTTTTTGTATTTTTAGTAGAGACGGGGTTTCACTGTGTTAGCCAGGATGGTCTCGTCTCCTGACCTCGTGATCCGCCTGCCTCGGCCTCACAAAGTGCTGGGATTACAGGCGTAAGCCACCGTGCCCGGCCCATATTTTTAATTTTAATAGATACTCTCAGTAAATTCCAAGAAAGTTATAACATTTGCCATTTCCACTGGAAATGCACTACCTGTATCTCTTCTACACTTCTAAATTTAATTTTCCAACACACTAAACTTTCATAAAAATCACATTTACAGGGTTTTCATACAAGGAAAAGTTACCTTTAGATTGAAACAAGTATGTTATATGGAATAGGATAAAATTATTGTATTAATTATGAAATATTACTGCTTACCTGGGCTGCATATGTAATTGCCTCAAGCTGCAATGCTGATAACCAGCCATTATCAATGGTTTCCTCAGAAATGGATGTTTTGTACCAAACATCAGGAGGAGTAACACTGGATAAAGAGCTAGTTTCCACTACAGCATCCGGATGACGCAAGCCAATTTTTACTAAACAAAAATGTAAAAACAAAATATTTTAATTATTCTAAGTAATAACATTTCTAGTTTCATTATAAGATATTTTATTGTTTTTCTTATGACAAAGAAAATAAAAAGTATTCACTCTGGGCTTCTATAAAAAGTCACTGACGATAAAGTAGTATCTATATTTGACTAAAATAATTTATCAACTACATATGGTTAAAATAGAGATTTGGGCCAGGTGGGTGGCTCACGCGTGTAATCCTAGCACTTTAGGAGGCCGAGGGATCACTTGAGGTCAGGCGTTCAAGACCAGCCTGGCCAACATAGCAAAACCCTGTCTCTACTAAAAATACAAAAATTAGCTGGGCATGTTGGCACACGCCTGTAATTCCAGCTACTCAGGAGGCTGAGGAACGAGAATTGCTTGAACCCAGGAGACGGAGGTTGCAATGAGCCAAGACTGCGCCACTGCACTCCAGCCTGAGTGGAGTGAGCCTCTGTCTCAAAAAATAAATAAATAAACTTAAATAATAAATAAAATAAAATAGAGATTTGCTGATTAAAAAAGATCTAAAAAAACACCAACTTGGTTCATACCAGCAGGCTCTCTAGTAGTAACAGAACATAATGCCAGATTAAGGAGTTCTGTTACTTCAGTCCCTCACTCAGTAAAAGTTTGCAATATAATTATACTTTGAGGCTAGGCACGAAGGCTCATGCTTATAATCTCAGCACTTTGGGAGGCCAAAGCAGGAGTATCATTTGAGGCCAAGAGTTTAAGACCAGCCTCCCCAACATAGTGAGACCTTCATCTCTACAATTAAAATCCAAAAATTAGCTGGGCATGGTGGTGGGACTTGTGGTCTGAGCTACTCAGGAGGCTGAGGCGGGAAGATTGCTTGAGCCTTGAAGGCTGAGGCTGCAGTGAGCAAAGATTGCGCCACTGCCTGGCTGGGTGTGGTGGCTCACGTCTGTAATCCCAGCACTTTGGGAAGCCAAGGTGGGTGGATCTCCTGAGGTCAGGCATTCGAGACCAGCCTGGCCAACACGGTGAAACCCCATCTCTACTAAAAATACAAAAATCAGCCAGGTATGGTGGTGCATGCCTGTAATCCTAGCTACTCAGGAGACTGAGGAAAGAGAATTGCTTGAATCCAGGAGGGATCCTAGGAGGCAGAGGTTGCAGTGAGGCAAGAGCATGCCACTGCACTCCAGACTGAGTAAAAAGCCAGACCCCACCTTAAAAACAATAATATATTTTACTTTGAAACATATTTGAAAGACAAACTTGGCTATAAAATTAAACAACCAAGTCCCCAAAATGTACAACATGAATACATTAAAATAATGATCAGGGAACTTTTTCTGTAAAGGGTCTGAGAATGATTTTGCCATTTTAGGCCATCCTGTCTCTTGTACAACTACTTAACATTGCTGTTGTAGTGCCAACGCAGCCATAGATAATATGTAAACCAATAATCATGCCTGTTACGATAAAACTTTATTTACTATAAAAGAGGGATTGGTCCAGATTGAGTTTGCTGCCCTCTGGCTTAAAGGGCCATAAACTCTTTCAATCCTTTTGCAAAATGATTATTGGAATAAAAAGAAGTTCAGATAGGACCCCTAAAATTCATTATAGGTGACCAGAAAAGGATGGAATCTTGGATTCTATGAGTAGTTCATAAAAAGAGAATTGTAGATCAATTCAAATGGTATTATTAGTGGCTTTTTATAGAAACCAAGACTACACGAAAGACAAATTCTAGACACAGATTTGTTTCCTATAATGAAAAAGTGAAAATTTTATGCAAATACTAAAAACCTAATTTTCAACTTAATATAGTGGCTGCTAAAAAAAAAAGAATCATGGTTATACAAAAGGGAGAAACAAAGTTAATTAAAAACTATGGAATTCAAATAGCACAATTATTTTTATAATTTCAATGTTTTAACAATTTTAGACAAGTTGTATTAAATATGTATCTTAGCTTTATATATCTTTACAATTACCTTTGATTTTTATAATCACTACTCCTACGAACAAAATTAACTTAAATTAAAATCCAAGCTTCTTTAGTTTTGGTTTTAAGACTCTGACCTAAAAAGATTCTAAATTTATATGGAAAAAAACAAAACAGGCCGGGCGCAGTGGCTCACGCCTGTAATCCCAGCACTTTGGGAGGCCGAGGCGGGCGGATCACAAGGTCAGGAGATCGAGACCACGGTGAAACCCCGTCTCTACTAAAAATACAAAAAATTAGCTGGGCGCGGTGGCGGGCGCCTGTAGTCCCAGATACTCAGGAGGCTGAAGCAGGAGAATGGCGTAAACCCAGGAGGCGGAGCTTGCAGTGAGCCGAGATCGCGCCACTGCACTCCAGCCTGGGCGACAGAGCGAGACTCCGTCTCAAAAAAAAAAAAAAAAAAAAAAAACCAAACAAAACAAAAAGCAGCAAAGAAACCACAGCAAAACTTTGACATAAGTAACTGACAAGTCCCGAAGACATACATTTTATTGGCATGTATTCTGCATATGTTTCTGCATGACCCATTTCTTCTTCGTCTTCTTCCTCTGGTTCATCATCTTCTTTTACAACAGGAACCTTCTGTAACACAGAAAGAGTACAATCAATCAAATCCAGGGACCAGATGCCCAGCCAACACATAGAAAAACTCTCTTGTAGGAACACCTACGATTTTCCATCATGGAAACATGACCCGCCACCTTAATACTCCCTAAAATCTGGGCCACACTTTGTGGCTTTCCTGCTTCTCCAATAATAAGCACAGACGAGGACCTACTCTATCTCTTATCCACAAATGGGTCACCACAAGACTCCATGTCCTTCTGGCCACCATCATGTCAAGCTGCTTTCCCCTTCAATTCTGCCTACCATCCCTCCTTGATGCCCAGAACTCTCTCTGCACTCAGACTTCACCTTCAGTCTAGTTCCAGGAGAAAGAGCAAGTAGTGTGCCTGGCTCTTCCTAGTGCAGAACTGGAGTGAACCCTAGCAAAGGTGGATGGGCTCCAAAGGACCCTGCATCACCACAAGCAGGACCTCTCAGTCTCACATCTCACCTTCTTCTCAGTTCACTTCTATTTGTCTGCTTTCTCGCATATCCTAAAACCAAAACCCCAGAAGACTGGAGTTTATTTTAAAGGCTCTTATGAAGAACAGAAAAATTTACTTCAGACTTCTGTGTCGCCACAGGTGCAATCATGATCATATATAAGATGGCCATATAATTTATTCTCCAAACCCTGGCACATTTGAGTTGGGGAGCTACTGAGGATTACACTGAGAAAACAGAAGGAAACCCAGACTGTCCTCGGCAAACCAAGTGAATGGTCACCACTGTTATGCTTCCCGATTCTTCCTCTACAGGATCATAAAGGAATAAAGGAAGATCCGGAACAAGCCACTTTTCATTACCAGTACAATCCTTAGGCAATTGTTTATCAGCATGCACTTGTCCAGGGAAGAATATAAAGAAACTGTTGGGGCCGGGCGCAGTGGCTCAAGCCTGTAATCCCAGCACTTTGGCAGGCCGAGACGGGCGGATCACGAGGTCAGGAGATCGAGACCATCCTGGCTAACACGGTGAAACCCCGTCTCTATTAAGAAATACAAAAAACTAGCCGGGCGAGGTGGCAGGCGCCTGTAGTCCCAGCTACTCAGGAGGCTGAGGCCGGAGAATGGCGTAAACCCGGGAGGCGGAGCTTGCAGTGAGCTGAGATCCGGCCACTGCACTCCAGCCTGGGTGACAGAGCGAGACTCCGTCTCAAAAAAAAAAAAAAAAAGAAACTGTTGGGAAACTCAGTATGCCAAGGGAAGAGGAGAACAAAAACCTACAGGTTAAGACAAATTAAGGCAAGATCAAGACAGCATTAAAAGTTAAGGACAGGCTCTTTTTTCATTTACCTCAGAATCTAGAGCAGAATATGGTTGCAAATAGATAATAAATGTCAAACGGAAAAGAGGTGAGACATAACCATCCAATCAACATTAACCTATGGAGTCTTTAGATAAACTCTAAGAACTTGGAATGTTCTCAGAAATTATGCTAAAATAAAACTCAATTTCAGAAATTTGAGGCAAAATAGGACTGGCCAAAGGAATAGATTTGAATCCCAATTCTGCTGTTATAACTGTGTAGTCTGTTTTTAATTTAGGCAAATTACCCAAATTCTGGGTCCTCTCCACCCCAACCATCTAACCCTGTCCTCGCTTATAAAATAGAAATGTATTCTATGCTAAGATAAACGGCCTCCTTTCTCCCTCCATCCTTTATTCTTCTACCTAGAGTTTTTTAAAATCATCATAAAATTGATGATAACTGAATAACTGAAGGATAAGTTGGTAATACTGAAGGACCACTATATCCAGGGAACAAACAAACACCTTGAAGCCAGGTGCATGTGAGATGGCAACTGACATCAAATTCAGGTCAAACAGATAACTCAGATGAGGGAGACCATGGTACCTGGGAAATCTTTGCCCGGGCATGGTGGCTCACTCCTGTAATCCCAGCACTTGGGCGGCAGAGGCAGGCGGATCACCTGAGGTCAGGAGTTCAAGACCAGCCTGGCCAACATGGCAAAACCCCATCTCTACTAAAACATAAGGGCCAGGTGGTGCCTCACGCCTGAAATCTCAGCACTTTAGGAGGCCGAGGCGAGTGAATCACAAGGTCAGGAATTTAAGACCAGCCTGGCCAACATGGTGAAACCCTGTCTCTACTAAAAAATCCAAAAAAAAAAAAAAAATTAGCAGGGCGTAGTGGCAGGCGCCTGTAATCCCAGCTACTTGGGAGGCTGAGGCAGAGAACTGCTTGAACCCGGCAAGCGGAGGATGCAGCGAGCCAGGACTGCACCAATGCACTCCAGCCTGTGTGATAAGAGTGAGACTCCATCTAAAAATAAATACATAAATAAAATAAAAAATACAAAAATTATCTGGGTATGGCAGGGAGGAAGTAGGGGGGCTGCCTGTAATCCCAGCTGCTCAGGAGGCTGAGGCAGGACAATCACTTGAACCTGGGAGGCAGAGGTTGCAGTGAGCTGAGATCGTGCCACTGCCCTCCAGCCTGGGTGACAGAGCAAGACACCATCTTAAAACACACACACGGCCGGGCGCGGTGGCTCAAGCCTGTAATCCCAGCACTTTGGGAGGCCGAGACGGGCGGATCACGAGGTCAGGAGATCGAGACTATCCTGGCTAACACGGTGAAACCCCGTCTCTACTAAAAAATACAGAAAACTAGCCGGGCGCGGTGGCGGGCGCCTGTAGTCCCAACTACTCGGGAGGCTGAGGCAGGAGAATGGCGTGAACCCGGGAGGCGGAGCTTGCAGTCAGCTGAGATCTGGCCACTGCACTCCAGCCTGGGCGGCAGAGCGAGACTCCGTCTCAAAACACACACACACACACACACACACACACACACACACACACACACACAAAAACACACGCATATTTGTCGACTAGTTTGGTTCATGGGCTATCAGTCTGCAGTCTCTCTGAGATGTTACTTAAATGCTAGGCCAATAAAAAACTTATAGCATATAATGGACTGAAATGGAAATGGTGAGAACCACATAAAACATTTCTTGAAGAAATATGCATTCTTAGTTTCCAAAAATCACCTTCCAAGTGCTGTTGGTAGACAATCACTAAGTAAACTGGGTACTGCCAGTGGCACTATTGTTCTCCTGGTCCCCATTCAAAACCTCAGCTACAGTGTGCTGTATTGTCTCCAATTCCATATTCCAGAACCAAGTTCCAAAATTATTTTGGTATCGTTAATGTACAGTCATCTCTTTTTTCCCTTTCCCCTCTCCCTTTTCCAATCCCCTCTGCGAGGTCTCTAGTACACCCCTTTTTACTTCCCCTTTACGTTAACCAACTTTCCAACATATCTCTTTTGCCTTCTCCTACTCATCCCGAATCTGTCTTCCCTATCCCCTTACTGAGTCTGCACCCCAACTTCTCTCAAACCACTAACATCTCTACGGCTCAGTGGTGCTAGACTAAGTCCAAAGTCCTTCAAACTCAATTCAGCACAGGGCTCCTTGGCCTCCCAGCACTTTGAGAGGCTGAGATGGAGGGACCACTTGAGGTCAGGCATTCGAGACCAGTCTGGCTAATGTGGTAAAACCCTGTCTCTACTAAAAATACAAAAATTAGCCAGGCCTGGTGGCGGGCACCTGTAATCCCAGCTACTCAGGAGGCTGAGGCAGAAGAATCGCTTGAATCTGGGAGGCGGAGGTTGCAGTGAGCCAAGATCACACCACTACACTCCAGCCTGGGCAACAGAGCAAGACTCTATCTCAAAACAAATCAAAACAAACAACAACAACAACAACAACAACAAACCTCAATTCAGGACCCTCCATGGAGCCCAGACCGACTTTTCCCATTTCTTTCTACAAGCTAAGCTTCCTGGCTTATTTTCACCAAAGCACATGGTCACTACCTCCTCTGTGCCTATTAATCCTTTAGCTCCCTTCCTAAAATTCCACCTCAAAGACTCGTCATACTCAAAACCCAAGTTCCATTACTCCTCCATAAAGTCCACCAAGCCACTAGAGTTCATGAAGGTCACCTGTTTCTCCAAATCCTTAACCTTTATTGTGAGTACACTGTATCTTTTGATGTACTTTTCATTATTACTACTTAATCCAGATGGTTGTCAAATTTTGTTTATTTATTTATTTATTTATTTTTATTTTTTATTTTTTTTTTGAGACGGAGTCTCGCTGTGTCTCCCAGGCTGGAGTGCAGTGGCGTGATCTCGGCTCACTGCAAGCTCCGCCTCCCGGGTTCACGCCATTCTCCTGCCTCAGCCTCCCGAGTAGCTGGGACTACAGGCGCCGCCACCACGCCCGGCTAATTTTTTTGTATCTTTAGTGGAGACGGGGTTTCATTGTGTTAGCCAGGATGGTCTTGATCTCCTGACCTCGTGATCCGCCCGTCTCGGCCTCCCAAAGTGCTGGGATTACAGGCTTGAGCCACCGCGCCCGGCCTTTTTTTTTTTTTTTTTTGAGACGGAGTCTCGCTCTGTCACCCAGGCTGGAGTGCAGTGGCCGGATCTCAGCTCACTGCAAGTTCCGCCTCCCGGGTTCACGCCATTCTCCTGCCTCAGCCTCCCGAGTAGCTGGGACTACAGGCGCCCGCCACCACGCCCGGCTAGTTTTTTGTATTTTTAGTAGAGACGGGGTTTTACCATGTTAGCCAGGATAGTCTCGATCTCCTGACCTCGTGATCCACCCGCCTCGGCCTCCCAAAGTGCTGGGATTACAGGCTTGAGCCACCGCGCCCAGCCCAAATTTTGTTTATTGAAAGTAGAATCATGTAATAAATATACTTCGTGTAGAAACCTACTACATATTAACAATGTTATACATGGAGAATTTATTACATAAATGTATGGAATCAACTGAGCCAAAGCATACAGCGTTTTCTTTTTTTTTTTGAGACGGAGTCTTGCTCCGTCGCTCGGGCTGGAGTGCAGTGGCTCGGTCTTGGCTCACTGCATGCTCTGCCTTCCAGGTTCACGCCATTCTCCTGCTTCAGCCTCCCGAGTAGCTGGGACTACAGGCACCCGCCACCACGCCTGGCTAATTTTTTTTGTATTTTTTTAGTAGAGATGGGGTTTCACCATGTTAGCCAGGATGGTCTTGATCTCGTGACCTCATGATGCGCCTGCCTCGGCCTCCCAAAGTGCTGGGATTACAGGCGTGAGCCACCGTGCCCAGCCGAGCATTTTCAAAATGTTAAGAATCATAGACCGGGCGTGGTGGCTCAAGCCTGTAGTCCCAGCACTTTCGGAGGCCGTGACAGGCAGATCATGAAGTCTGGAGATCGAGACCATCCTGGCTAACACGGTGAAACCCCGTCTCTACTAAAAAATACAAAAAAATAGCCGGGCGAGGTGGCGGGCGCCTATAGTCCCAGCTACTCGGGAGGCTGAGGCAGGAGAATGGCGTAAACCCGGAAGGCGGAGCTTGCAATGAGCTGAGATCCGGCCACTGCACTCCAACCTGGGCAACAGAGCCAGACTCCGTCTCATAAAAAAAAAAAAAAAATTATAACCAGGTCAAGTGCAGTGGCTCACGCCTGTAATCTCAGCACTTTCGGAGGCTGAGGTGGGCGGATAACCTGAGGTCAGGAGTTCGAGACCACCTGGCCAACATAGTGAGACCCCATTTCTACCAAAAACACAAAAATTAGCCAGGCGTGGTGGCACATGCCTGTAATCCCAGCTACTCGAAAGGCTGAGGTGGGAGAATCGCTTGAACCTGAGAGGCGGAGGTTGCAGTGAGCCAAGACAGCACCACTGCACTCCAGCCTGTGCGATAAGAATGAGATTCTGTCTCAAAAAAAAAAAGAATTACAGATACCACATCATTATATGATCTGTCAGTGCATTATGAGCTATCTATTCAAGTTCGATCCTAAAATGAACAGTTATCAATTACTTTTGGTTAACCCCACATTGTCTTTTTGTCTGCTCAGATGAGATTTTTAACAATAAGATATCAGTACTGTGTGTCAGTGCCACACTCCATCAAATCTGCAAGTTTTAACCACCCTGGTTAGTATCTATATTATTCCAGCAAGGTTTAAGTGCAGCCATTAGTTTCCACGCCTGTATAGCTTCTCCCCAACCCAAAAACAGCTTTCTGAGGGTTGTTCCATATAGAACACTTTTAGTTGAGTACACTCTCATACTACACAAAAATAAAGACACAGGTATTTGAAACTCACCATGGTTGGGGAAAAACTCCTCATTTTCACGTCGTTTATCCACATTCTAGCTCCTTCTTTATTAGAAGATTCTTTCTTTACTGTACCATTGCTTACATCAGCTAAGGAGGAAAAAGTCAATTTACATTTAGAAGAAAATTCTGAACTTATTTTCCCATTATTTAAAAATCCAGAAGTTTAAGGCCGGTGCAGCGGCTCACGCCTGTAATCCCAGCACTTTGGGACACTGAGGCGGGTGGATAACAAGGTCAAGAGTTCAAGACCAGCCTGGCGAAAATAGTGAAACCCACTCTCTACTAAAAATACAGAAACAAGCTGGGCGTGGTGGCGGGCGCCTGTAGTCCCAGCTACTCAGGAGGCTGAGGCAGGAGAATGGCGTGAACCCGGGAGGCAGAGCTTGCAGTGAGCTGAGACAGCGCCACTGGACTCTAGCCTGGGCGACAGAGCGAGACTCCATCTCAAAAAAAAAAAAAAAAAGGGGGCTAGGAGAAGTGGCTCACGCCTGTAATCCCAGCACTTTGGGAGGCCGAGGTGGTGGATCACCTGAGGTTGGGAGTTCAAGACCAGCCTGACCAACATGGAGAAACCCCGTCTCTACTAAAAATACAAAATTAGCCAGGCATGGTGGCGCATGCTCATAATCCCAGCTACTCGGGAGGCTGAGGCACAGAACTGCTTGAACTCGGGAGGCGGAGGCTGCAGTGAGCAGGAGATTGCGCCACTGTACTCCAGTCTGGGCAACAAGAGCAAAACTCTGTCTCAAAAAATTAATGAACAAATAAATATTAAAAAATCAAAATACAAAAAAAAATTAGCCGGGCGTGGTGGCAGGCGCCTGTAGTCCCAGCTACTCGGGAGGCTGAGGCAGGAGAATGGCGTGAAACTATGAGGCAGGGCCTGCACTGAGCCGAGATCACGCCACAGCACTCCAGCCTGGATGACAGAGCAAGACTCCATCTCAAAAAAAGAAAGAAAAGAAAACCAAAGAAACCCAAAACCTGGGATTATCACCCAAAAGGAATCAATTTCATGTGATCTGGTGGTTCTTGCTAATTTTCAAGGCAAAATAATTATTTCTAGAAGAAAAATCAATTTTGGAACTCCTTACTTCCTCCTGCTCCCAGAGTAAAGATCTAAACAATGAACTTTCTTCTTCTATACCACTGGTTTTCAAACTCTTTTAAATATAGCAATAAAATCTCAAAATCCACTTATCAATCATCAGAGCTGCTTGACTGAATAGGGGTGGGGATATCCAGTCCAGAACCCCTGGAACCACCCTTAAGCCTCCAAGGATCCCTGAAGTCCTCACAGTACCGGGAATTCTTGAGATAGAGGTGTGGAAATCACTGCCTTTAGGGAAGAGAGTGCTAACACCAGGAGGGCTGATCAGCATTTCATCTATTCTAGCAAAAGATGAAGAGTATTTGGGAGGACTATCACTTGGACTCTAAAACGAGTACAACTAATTCAAGTATTCACGGGACAGGTGCGGTGGCTCATGCCTGTAATCCCAGAACTTTGGGAGGCCAAGGTGGGCTGATCACTTGAGGTCAGGAGTTCAAGACCAGCATGGCCAACGTGGTGAAACCCCATCTCTACTAAAAATAGCCAGGCTTGGTGGCTCATGCCTGTAATCCCAGCTATTCGCGAGGCTGAAGCAGGAGAATCACTTTAACTCAAGAGGCAGAGGTTGGCCGGGCGCGGTGGCTCAAGCCTGTAATCCCAGCACTTTGGGAGGCCGAGACGGGCGGATCACGAGGTCAGTAGATCGAGACCATCCTGGCTAACCCGGTGAAACCCCGTCTCTACTAAAAAATACAAAAAAAACTAGCCGGGCGAGGTGGCGGGCGCCTGTAGTCCCAGCTACTCGGGAGGCTGAGGCAGGAGAATGGCGTAAACCCGGGAGGCGGAGCTTGCAGTGAACTGAGATCCGGCCACTGCACTCCAGCCTGGGCGACATAGCGAGACTCCGTCTCAAAAAAAAAAAAAAAAAAAAAAAGAGGCAGAGGTTACAGTGAGCCGATCATGTCATTGCACTCCAGCCTGGGCGATGGAATGAGACTCCGTCTCACAAAAAAAAAAAAAAATAAAAATAAAGTATTAACAAAACAAGGAGACTAGAACAGAGATGATATTTGGGGGCATGATTTGTTTATTATAATTGTGAAAGGGCCAGTGATCAGCTCCTAGTTTAAAGACCAGAGAAAGTGACAGGTTAGAAATCCAAAGGGGTGGCCGGGCGCGGTGGCTCAAGCCTGTAATCCCGGCACTTTGGGAGGCCGAGACGGGCGGATCACGAGGTCAGGAGATCCAGACCATCCTGGCTAACACCGTGAAACCCCGTCTCTACTAAAAATACAAAAAACTAGCCGGGCGAGGTGGCGGGCGCCTGTAGTCCCAGCTACTCCGGAGGCTGAGGCAGGAGAATGGCGTAAACCCGGGAGGCGGAGCTTGCAGTGAGCTGAGATCCGGCCACTGCACTCCAGCCCGGGCTACAGAGCAAGACTCCGTCTCAAAAAAAAAAAAAAAAAAAAAAAAAAGAAATCCAAAGGGGTAATAACCACCCAGAAAAGAGGTAGAACATGCAACACCCTTGCTTTCTGCAGTTCCATATTTTCAATGTTTTTCCCCTTCAGTAAAAAGAGGACCACCTCCTACAACAAAAAACTTTATCTTCAGCATTCACTTACCATCTTTTTTTTTTTTTTTTTTGAGACAGAGTCTTGCTCTGTTGCCCAGGCGGGAGTACAGTGGCGCCATCTCAGCTCACTGCAACCTCTGCCTCCTGGGTTCAAGCAATTCCCTGCCTCAGCCTCCCAAGTAGCTGAGATTACAGACGCCTGTCACCATGCCCAGCTAATTTTTGTATTTTTAATAGAGACGGGGTTTCACCATCTTGGCCAGGCTGGTCTTGAACCCCTGACCTCATGATCCACCCACCTCGGGCTCCAAACATGCTGGGATTACAGGCATGAGCCACTGTGCCCAGCCCATCTTTGTTTCTTAGTCCTGATCTAGCTTGACAGTTTCTCAGGCTTCCATACAAGGACAGTCTTGCTGTGCAGCCTTATAAATGCCTGCATTTGTCTTTTAAAAATCACTACCTTAAATATGGGAGAATTTACTGTACTAGGTATCTTGTTCAGCCAGCTCCAAATCCATCCTGTTTTCTGTTTTGGTCTCTAAATTCTTCCCTCACAATAGCATACATCCACTCCTTTAAGTTATTACGATGGCATATGCTGATGTGAGGAAGCCACTCATACAAGAAGCAGGCTTCCTCATTAAATCCAAAGACCCTAACGAGAAGCATCTTCCTCCAACTGTCGACCATCCCCAAATCCCTTGCAAGTGATTCCAGAAGCTGCCCTGCACCTCAGCCAGGTCAAGGTCACAGCACTGCACTCCACAGCAGAAAATGGAATCAGCCCTAAGACAGCTAAAATGATTTCCCAACTTGCATCTCACTGCCAGGTTGCAGTCAGTTCAGGACAATGACCTTGAAAGGAAAACCAAAAAACAAAAACCAAAAAACAAAAAACTACAACCACAAGGACACAATGGTATGGACCCAAACATAAAAACCAGATGATCTGAAAAAATTTTTTATTACATCTGTCACTTAAGACAAAGTTCTACATCTTCCTATCAACACTTACCACCCATTCTTTTTTTTTTTTTTTTTTTTTTTTGAGACGGAGTCTCGCTATGTCGCCCAGGCTGGAGTGCAGTGGCCGGATCTCAGTTCACTGCAAGCTCCGTCTCCCGGGTTTACACCATTCTCCTGCCTCAGCCTCCCGAGTAGCTAGGACTACAGGCACCCGCCACCTCGCCCGGCTAGTTTTTTGTAGTTTTAGTAGAGATGGGGTTTCACTGTGTTCGCCAGGATGGTCTCGATCTCCTGACCTCATGATCCACCCATCTCAGCCTCCCAAAGTGCTAGGATCACCCATTCTTTTAGAATGCTCTTAGCCCTCTATTTCAGAAAAACACAAGCAGGCCGGGCGTGGTAGCTCACGCTTGTAATCCCAACACCACTTTGGGAGGCTAAGGTGGGCAGACTGCCTGAGCTCAGGAGTTTGAGACCAACCTGGCCAACACAGTGAAACCCCGTCTCCAGCAAAAATACAAAAATTAGCTGGGCGTGGTGGCATGCTCCTGTAATCCCAGCTACTCGGGAGGCGGAGGCAGGAGAATGGCCTGAACCCATGAGATGGAGGTTGCAGTGAGCGGAGACTGCACCACTGCACTCCAGTCTGAGTGACAGACTGAAAGTCCACCTCAAAAAAAGAAAAAAGAAATGTAGAATTGTGGGCTCTACTGAGAATCAGATTCTGCTTTCAAACAAGATCCACAGATGAGTCATAGGTAAATAAAGTGTATGATGCACTGATTTGTAAAGGATTAAGAAAGATGTTAACTGACTACCTATAATATATAAAATTGGTAAGATTTCATGTTGCTAATGTAGCTACCTGATAATCCCAGAAATTTCATTTCAAAGCTAAACATTCTACCCAAGACATCTAAACTTTAGCTTCCCTTGAATTGTGTTAAAGACTGTAAGTATGCAAAACAATGCAGATAAACACCCTTTAATGCCCAGTTCTTTAAAAACTCAAGCAAATGGTTTAACAAACACGCTGACATAGCTTACCAAAGGGAGAAAGTTGATACTATTGAAAACGGACTTACTAGCTGCTGTTGCTACTGGCTGAGCAATATTAGCAGGCGGCTTTAGTTTCATGAGTTCATTAAGACTATTATTTTTCAGTAGATCCTTCAGCTGAACTTGGTCTTTTGAAGGTGCACAAGTCATGGCATTTCGTACTGTTGGTGCTGAGACTGACGGGCGTGTGCTTGCAGTAGTCTGGATAAACTTAGTTAAAGTGATGGTTTGCCTGTTGGTTGTTACAGGTGGTGTTTTAGTCATTACAATGGTAGATCCCAAGGGTGGAAGATGATTTATTTGATTCAGCACAAATGTTGTAGTAGATGGAGGCTGCTGCTAGACAGAAAACGAAAAATAATACACCACTGAAAAATGCTTTATTCTCTAATGAAGCTTATATCCATAAACCTGAAAGAACAACTAAAAATCTAAAATGTACTTTTATCATTGCTTCTTTCTTTGAAACATAGTCTCATTCTGTCACCCAGGCTGAAGTGTGATCATAGCTCACTGCAGCCTTGCCCAAGCAGGTTCAAGTGATTCTTGCACCTCAACCTCTCATGTAGCTGGGACTACAGGTGCAAGCCACCATGCGTGGCAAATTTTTTTTAGAGGTAAGAGTCTCACTATGTTGCTCAGGTTGGTCTCAAACTCCTGGGCTCAAGCCATTATCCTACCTCAACCTCCTAACGTGCTGGGATTACAGGCGTGAGCCACTGTGCCCAGTCTTGCCTAAATATTGGTACTTCATTTCTGATTTGATTAGCTACAAATTACCAAGTTAAAATGCACAACTTTGATGAAAAGAAGATATAGTAGTAATATAACCCTTTCTAAAACTGTCAGGGATGGCAAGCATAAAATAGAACTATCCCACACAAACTGAAAATAATACAACTAAGCCAGGCACAGTGGTGTGCACCTGCATTTCCAGCTCCTTGGGAGGGTGACACAGGAGGCTCACTTGATTTTAAGATCAGCCTTGGCAAAATAGCAAGACGCCCTCCCACCCCAACCTCCCCAAAAGACTAGTAACAAAGTTTCCAATGCCTTGATTGATGACATTTTCACCTTTTTCCTCCTCAACACTACTTGCTATTTCTCCATGACTCCTTTAATAATGAGTCTTTAATAAAGAGTCTACTATTTACAATTTTGTTTTCAGTATTTTGACTTGTCATCAACGAACATGCTATATATCTTCACATACACATCTGTTTTTAAAAATATCTTGGCCGGGCGCGGTGGCTCAAGCCTGTAATCCCAGCACTTTGGGAGGCCGAGATGGGCGAATCACGAGGTGGGGAGATCGAGACCATCCTGGCTAACACGGTGAAACTCCGTCTCTACTGAAAAAAAAAAATACAAAAAACTAGTCGGGCGAGGTGGCGGGCGCCTGTAGTCCCAGCTACTCGGGAGGCTGAGGCAGGAGACTGGCATAAACCCGTGAGGCGGAGCTTACAGTGAGGTGAGATCCAGCCACTGCACTCCAGCCTGGGCGACAGAGCAAGACTCCGTCTCAAAAAAAAAAAAAAAAAAAAAATATCTTTGTGGGGCTGGGAGCGGTGGCTCACACCTGTAATCCCAGCACTTTGGAACACTGAGGCGGGCACATTACCTGAGGTCTGGAGTTCAAGACCAGCCTGGCCAACATGGTAAAACCCTGTCTCTATTAAAGATACAAAAATTAGCCACGGCATGGTGGTGGGCACTTACAGTCCCAGTGACTCAGGAAGCTGAAGCAGAAGAATTTGCTTGAACCCGGGAGGCAGAGGTTGCAGTGAGCCGAGATGGCGCTACTGCACTCCAGCCTGGGCAACAAAGCGAGACTCCATCTCAAAAAAAAAAAAAAAAAATTGAAACAAGAATGAAAGAAATGTGTCACAAAATAGGAGATAAGGGTAGGATATTGGGAAAGTGGCAAAAAGTAGAACGAGAGAGAGAAAACTATTTCACACTAAAAGGTTATTTTTTTTATTAATTATGCTTTTTTTTTTTTTTTTTTGAGACAGTCTCGCTCTGTCGTCCAGCCTGGAGTGCAGTGGCTCCATTTCAGCTCACTGTAAGCTCCGCCTCCCAGGTTCACACCATTCTCCTGCCTCAGCCTCCTGAGTAGCTGGGACTATAGGCGCCCGCCACCACGCCCAGCTAATTTTTTGTATTTTTAGTAGAGACGGGGTTTCACCATGTTAGCCAGGATGGTCTCCATCTCCTGACCTTGTGATCCACCCGCCCCAGCCTCCAAAAGTGTTGGGATTACAGGCGTGAGCCACTGCACCCAACCTCTTTTTTTTATTTTTTGCTATGAAGTCTTGCTCTGTCACCCAGGCTAGAGTGCAGTGGTTTGGTCTCGGCTCACTGCAACCTCCACTTCCTGGGTTCATGAGATTCTCCTGCCTCAGCCTCCCAAGTAGCTATGACTATAGGTGTGCACCACCACACCCAGCTAATTTTTGTATTTTTAGTAGAGATAGAGATGGGGTTTCACCATGTTGGCCAGGCTGGTCTTGAACTCCTGACCTCAAGTGATCCATCCACCTTGGCCTCCCAAAGTGCCAGGATTATAGGTATGAACCACCATGCGCAGCCCGTTTCTTCTTTTATAGAGATGGGGTCTTGCCATTTTGCTCAAGCTAGTCTTGAATTCTTTGGCTCAAGCAATCCTCCTACCTCAGCCTCTCAAAGTGCTGAGATTACAGGTGCGAACCACCACACCTGGCCATGTTTTCTCACTACAGTTCTAAACTATTTTAGAAGTAAGGACAAATCTAAATAATTCTTACCCTCACATTTAATAGTGCTGGAGTAGGTACAGTCTCTGGTTCTTGTTTAACAGGAACTGCTGCTTCGGTCTCCAAACCTAGTTCTAATGCACTAAGTGGCACTGACTGGAGAGAAAACAACATCAGACAAAACATAAAGGACAGCAGTAAATTCTGTTTCAAGGACAAGATTTGCATTTATTAAAAAATATCAAGCTTAACATTCAAACGGAGGTGAAATCACTAACAGCAGATACAATGTAACAATCTCTGCAAGCACAAGATCTCCACAAAACTATACTAACAATCCCGTTTTAAAAACATTTTTGTGGCCGGGCGCGGTGGCTCAAGCCTGTAATCCCAGCACTTTGGGCGGCCGAGACGGGCGGATCACGAGGTCAGGAGATCAAGACCATCCTGGCTAACACGGTGAAACCCCATCTCTACTAAAAAAAAATACAGGCCGGGTGCGGTGGCTCAAGCCTGTAATCCCAGCACTTTGGGAGGCCGAGACGGGTAGATCACGAGGTCAGGAGATCGAGACCATCCTGGCTAACACAGTGAAACCCCGTCTCTACTAAAAATACAAAAAACTAGCCGGGCGAGGTGGCGGGCGCCTGTAGTCCCAGCTACTCGGGAGGCTGAGGCAGGAGAATGGCGTGAACCCGGGAGGCGGAGCTTGCAGTGAGCCGAGATCCGGCCACTGCACTCCAGCCTGGGCGACACAGTGAGACTCCGTCTCAAAAAAAACAAAACAAAACAAAACAAAATACAAAAAACTAGCTGGGCATGGTGGTGGGCACCTGTAGTACCAGCTACTCGGGAGGCTGAGCCGGGAGAATGGCGTAAACCCGGGAGGCGGAGCTTGCAGTGAGCCGAGATCGCACCAGCACTCCAGCCTGGGCAACAGAGCGAGACTCCGTCTCAAAAAAAAAAAAAAAAAAAAAAATTTTTGTAAGCTGGGTGTGGTGGCTCATGCCTGTAATCCCAGCACTTTGGGAGGCTGAGTCAAGCGGATCATGAGGTCAGGAGTTTGAGACCAGCCTGGCCAACACAGAGAAACCCCATTTCTACTAAAATACAAAAATCAGCTGGGCTTGGCCGGGCATGGTGGCTCACGCCTGTAATCCCAGCACTTTGGGAGGCCAAGGCAGGTAGATCACAAGGTCAGGAGATCGAGACCATCCTGGCTGACACAGTGAAATCCCGTATCTACTAAAAATACAAAAAATCAGCCAAGTGTAGTGGTGGGCACCTGTAGTCCCAGCTACTCAGGAGGCTGAGGCAGGAGAGAATGGCATGAACCTGGGAGGCAGAGCTTGCAGTGAGTGGAGATCGCGCCACTGCATTCCGGCCTAGGCAACAGAGGGAGACTCAATTTCAAAAAATAAATATATAAATAAAACAAAAACATAAAAACATTAGCCAGGCGTGGCGGCAGGCGCCTGTAATCCCAGCTACTCGGGAAGCTGAGGCAGGAGAATTGCTTGAATCTGAGAGTTGGAGGTTGCAGTAAGCCAAGATCGTGCCACTGCACTCCAGTCTGGGTGACAGAGTGAGACTCTGTCTCAAAAACAACAAAAAAAAATTTTTTAGTCTTTTTTTTTTTTTTAAGGTTAGTCAGGTGGGAGTAGAGGAGAAACAAAGAAATCTGTAATTGGCTGTGATCAATTAGCTATAAACAACACTGTACTCGGACCAGTCTATTTTTTTATTTTTCAGAAACAAGGTCTTGCTCTGTCACCCAGGCTAAAGTACAGTGGCACGATAACAACTCACAATAGCCTCAAACTCCTGAGCTCAAGTGATCCTCCCACCTCAGCCTCCTGGGTAGCTGGGACATCAAGCACACACACCTACGGCCAGCTAATTTTATTTAACTTTTTTTTTTTTTTTGAGATGGAGTCTGGCTCTGTCGCCCAGGCTGGAGTGCAGTGGCGCGATCTCAGCTCACTGCAAGCTCCACCTCCTGGGTTTACGCCATTCTCCTGCCTCAGCCTCCCGAGTAGCTGGGACTACAGGCGCCCGCCACCTCGCCCGGCTAGTTTTTTGTATTTTTTAGTAGAGACAGAGTTTCACCGTGTTAGCCAGGATGGTCTCGATCTTCTAACCTCGTGATCCGCCCGTCTCGGCCTCCCAAAGTGCTGGGATTCAGGCTTGAGCCACCGCGCCCGGCCTTATTTAACTTTTTATAGAGACAAGGTCTCGCTACGTTGCCCAGGCTGGTCTCAAACTCCTGGGCTCAAGCAATCCTTCAGTCTCAGCCTCCCTAAGTGCTGGGATTACTGGCGTGAGACACCGTGCCCTGCCAGAATCTTACATTTTTGCTTTCAGAGAATGTATATGGTGAAGTCACAGAAGAATATCCCTAAATAATTAAACTACTATTAAGGAAATTAAAGATACTCCCACAAGAACACTAAACATCTCTTACACTGTCTGTACATTTATAATAATATCAAAGCAGAAAATAGTGTTATTTTTTGCCTCATAAATCAAAGTGAATACTCAACATAAAAATAACATTCAGCCGGGCACAGTGGCTCACACCTGTAATCCCAGCACTTTGGGAGGCTGAGGCAGGCGGATCACAAGGTCAGGAGTTCGAGACCAGCCTGAACAACATGGTGAAACCCCATCTCTACTGAAAATACAAAAATTAGCCAGGCGTGGTGGCCCACGCCTGTAATCCCAACTACTCAGGAGGCTGAGGCAAGAGAATTTTGAACCCAGGAGGCAGAGGTTGCAGTGAGCCGAGATGGCGCCACTGCACTCCAGCCAGGGCAACAGAGCAAGACTCTGTCTCAAAAAAAAAAAAAAAAAAAAAAAAAAAATTAACACATGTATCTAAAATTAAGGCTTCACAAGTATATTTAAAATTGGGCCGAGCTTGGCTCGCACCTGTAATCCCAACACTTTGGGAGGCTGAGGTGGGCACTTGCTTGAGCTCAGGAGTTCAAGACCAGCCTGGGGCAACATGGCACATGCTGTCTCTACAAAAAAGACAAAAAATTAGCTGGGCATGGTGGCGCGTGCCTATAGACCCAGCCACTTAAGGGGCTGAGGCAGAAGGGCTGCTTGAGCCTGGGAGGTTGAGACTTCAGTGAGCCATGACTATACCACTGCACTCCAGTCTGGGCCACAGAGTGAGACTATCTCAAAAAAAAAAAAAAAAAAAAAAAAGTACTGTAAGCGGAAATCACCAAGAAAGAGAGGCTTTGGAAAACTCTTACCTGCTGAACTGACGGGGTAGGCATTGGAGTTGCAAGCCCTGCATCTCCACCATCAATATCAAAGAGGTCATTTGGACTAATTCCACTCTCACTCAAAGCAGCAAGCAGTAAATCTTGCCCTGGTTCCACCATCTTTAAAATGAAATATTAAATATTAACATAAAAAACAAAAGTGACAAATATTAACTCCCCTCTAAACAATCCAACAATCTCTACTGGACCCATTCACTCAATATTAATGAAGAACCTGCCATGTGTCAGGCAAAGAGGATAAAAAGAAATAGTCTTGGATCCCAAGCTCACGCAAAAATAGAAAGGATAGAGAAGTACATAAATCATAGCACGAGTATATGTCTACAAAAGGCTACGGGAACAGAGAAGGAAATAATGAACTTTGTGGAAGCAGAGATAAAGATGACAAAGCAGCAGAGCCTCAGGGAATTATCAGGTGGACCAGGATCCTCTGGACTATGCATTCAAAACATGGAGGCATGAAAGAATTTGACATGCTTTAAAAACTATGGCTGGAGGCGGCAGGGCACATGGCTCACGCCTGTAATCCCAGCACTTCAGGAGGCTAAGGCAGGCGGATCACAAGGTCAGGAGATCGAGACCATCCTAGCTAACATGGTGAAACCCTGTCTCTACTAAAAATAGAAAAATTAGCCAGGCGTGATGGCAGGCGCCTGTAGTCCCAGGCACTCGGGAGGCTGAGGCAGGAGAATGGTGTGAACCCAGGAGGTGGAGCTTGCAGTGAGCCGAGATCGTGCCATTGCACTCCGGCCTGGGAAACAGAACCAGACTCCGTCTCAAAAAAAAAAACAAAAAAACAAAAACAAAAACTATGGCTGGAGGCCAGGTGCAGTAACTCACACCTGTAAACCCAGCACATTGGGAGCCCAAGCCAGGTGGATCACCTGAGTTCAGAAGTTTGAGACCAGCCTGGCCAAAATGGTGAAACCTTGCCTCTACCAAAAATACAAAAATTAGCCACACGTACTGGCGGGTGCCTGTAATCCCAGCTTCTCTGGAGGCTGAGGCAGGAAAAATCGCTTGAACCAAGAGGTGGAGGTTGCAGTGAGCCAAGATTGTGCCACTGCACTCCAGCCTGGGTGACAGAGCGAGACGGCATCTCAAAAAAAAAAAAAAGAAAGAAAGAAAAGAAAACCTCTGGAGATAATTCAACATGGCTATGATATGGAAGCTCAGAACAGAAGTATGGGTCTCAGGCAGGAAATGGCAAGAGATGAAGTATCACCTACAGCTTTGTACACCACGGTGGAGAGTCCACTTGCTCCTGTGGGAAACAGGGATTACTAACAAGTTTTCTGATTGAAGACTACTTGACACAGTAGATTTGTGACTTAGAAAGATTACTCATCTGGGCACTGTGGCTCAAGTCTGTAATCCCAGCACCAAAGTGGAGGTGCAGGAGGTTAGCTTGAGGCCAGGAGTTCAAGACCTGCCTGGAGACCCCATATCTACACAAAATTTTTTTTAATTAGCCAAGTGTGGTGGTGCAGGCCTGTAGTCCCAGCCACTTGGAAGGAACCTGAGCCCAGGAGTTGGAGACTGCAGGGAGCTGTAATGGCACCACTGCACTCCAGCCTGGGCTACAGAGTAAGACCCCCCCGCCCAACTCAGTAAAGAAAGAAAAAAAGAGAAAAATTTGTCAACAGCAATGTGGAAACAAACTAAGAGGAGGCAGAACAAGACCCGGAGTAGAAAGACATCTTGGGAAACTGCCACAGCTGACCATGAGAGAGATGTATTATAACTGTATGGGGCAGAGAGAAGGGGAAATGGAATCCAAGATACTTAGGGAGCTAAATCCATCAGATTTAGCTTAAATACTCAAAATGGAAGCGAGAATATGAAGCACGCCAGAGAAAAAGTATGAGCTGATGAATGGTTAGAGCTAAGCCAAGAGAAAAGAAAAAATAAACGTTGAGCCTGGAAGACTTGAAGGATGAATTCTATGGAGTTTGAGGGGGGCAGGGGGTTGGGGGGGACTAAAGCCAATTTAAAGTAGACAGATTTTAGTTTGGAGGTTTTTCCAACTATAATCTCAGGGGCCAAACTAAAGTCTTCTGCTGCCACGGATTTTTCCCCATTTTATAGGGGGGAAAAAGAGCTTTCTAAATTTTAACTTTTCTCATTAATTTCTCTGAAATAACCAATTTATATATACAAACATACTTATGAAGAATCTGTACTCTTCTCAGAAAACTAATTTCACGTTACATAAATATACTGATTTTCAGCTAGCCCATTTGCTCTGACTGTGATAAAATTAAATGTCAGTGTTTCGTGATGTCCTACAAAAATGGCATTAGCCAAGAGCACGATGAGCATGACTACGCAGTTTCGCTCTTGTTGCCCAAGGGGGAGTACAACCGCACGGTCTCCGCTCACTCCAACCTCTGCCTCCTGGGCTGATGCTCCTGCCGCACCCTCCCAAGTAGTGCGCACCAACACGCCTGGTTAATTTTTTTTTTTTTTTTTTGAGATGGAGTCTCACTTTGTCGCCCAGGCTGGAGTGCAGTGGCGCCATCTCCGCTCACTGCAAGCTCCGCCTCCCGGGTTCACGCCATTCTCCTGCCTCAGCCTCCGAGTAGCTGGGACTACAGGCGCGCACCACCACGCCCGGCTAATTTTTTGTATTTTTAGTAGAGACGGGGTTTCACCGTATTAGCCAGGATGGTCTGGATCTCCTGACCTCGTGATCCGCCCACCTCGGCCTCCCAAAGTGCTGGGATTGCAGGCGTGAGCCACCACGCCCGGCAATTTTTGTTTTTTTTTTTTTTTTGAGACGGAGTCTTGCTCTGTCGCCCAAGCTAGGGTGCAGTGGCGCGATCTCTGCTCCCTGCAAGCTCCGCCTCCTGGGTTCACACCATTCTCCTGCCTCAGCCTCCGGAGTAGCTGGGACTACAAGCGCCCGCCACCTTGCCCCGCTAGTTTTTTTTTTTTTTTGTATTTTTTAGTAGAGACGGGGTTTCACCGTGTTAGCCAGGACGGTCTCGATCTCCTGACCTCGTGATCCACCTGCCTCGGCCTCCCAAAGTGCTGGGATTACAGGCGTGAGCCACCGCGCCCGGCCTGTATTTTTTAGTAAAGACAGGGTTTCACGATGTTGGCCAGGCTGGTCTCAAACTCCTGACCTCAGGTGAACCACCCACCTTGGCCTCCCTAAGTGCTGGGATTACATGCCGTGAGCCACTGTGCCTGGCCTGAGCATGACTTCTAGCATGTAATAACTGTTTCAGGTGAAAGCATTTAACAAAGAAATCCTGTACTGTGTCTATGGCACCTACGTTTGTGTATCATTTAGACACATGTTCTTTTTTTTTTTTTTTTTTTTTGAGACAGAGTCTCGCTCTGTCGCCCAGGCTGGAGTGCAGTGGCAGGATCTCAGCTCACTGCCAGCTCCGCCTCCCAGGTTCACGCCATTCTCCTGCCTCAGCCTCCCGAGTAGCTGGGACTACAGGCGCCCGCCACCTCGCCCGGCTAGTTTTTTTTGTATTTTTTTTAGTAGAGACGGGGTTTCACCGTGTTAGCCAGGATGGTCTCCATCTCCTGACCTCGTGGTCCACCCGTCTCGGCCTCCCAAAGTGCTGGGATTACAGGCTTGAGCCACCGCGCCCGGCCTAGACACATGTTCTAATGGAAACATGAGTGAGTTTAAGGTGAAAACCAGATATCCAGAATGAAACTGAGGGCAGACCACTGTGTAAAAGGGTGGGAGGAAGAACAGATACCCCAAAGGAGATTTTCTGGAGACAGAGTCTCGCTCTGTTTCCCAGGCTGGAGTGCAGCGGTGCTCACTGCAAACTCCGCCTTCCAGGTCCAAGCAATTCTCCTGCCTCAGCCTCCTGAGTAACTGGACTACAGCCGCCCGCCACCACGCCCGGCTAATTTTTTGTATTTTAGTAGAGATGGGGTTTCATCGTGTTGCCCAGGCTGGTCTCAAACTCCTGGGCTCAGGCAGTCCGCCCGCCTCGGCCACCAAAGTGCTAGGATAACAGGTGTGCGCCACCACGCCCAGCCTCCCAAAGGAGATTTCTCCAGAATTTTCCAGAAAAAGGAAAAGTAACCTAAGGAAGAAAACCATTTTGGGCAGGGAGTGAGGAAGGAAGGAAACAAGCCTAGCACGGTGTTAAATTCTTCATAAACATTATCATACTCAAGCCCAAAACAACCCTGAGTGAGATCGGTAATATAATTTAAGAACTGAAGGCCGGGCGCGGTGGCTCAAGCCTGTAATCCCAGCACTTTGGGAGGCCGAGGCGGGCGGATCACAAGGTCAGGAGATCGAGACCACAGTGAAACCCCGTCTCTACTAAAAATACAAAAAATTAGCCGGGCGCGGTGGCGGGCGCCTGTAGTCCTAGCTACTCAGGAGGCTGAGGCAGGAGAATGGCGTGAACCCAGGAGGCGGAGCTTGCAGTGAGCCGAGATCGCGCCACTGCACTCCAGCCTGGGCAACAGCGTGAGACTCCGTCTCAAAAAAAAAAAAAAGAACTGAAACTGAGGATCAGAAAACTTAAATTATCTACTGAAGTTCACTCACGCAGGGAGTGGTAGAAGATGAGAAACTAGATAGATCAAACTCCCAAAGTCCATGAAGTTTTCTTTCCAATGAGTAGATGAAGCTGATGTTGGTAAACTACAATATTTCATTATTTCAGAATAAACGCCAGATTGAAATTAAAATTGGAGGGGGGATAAAGTATTAGACAGCAAGATATAAATAACATGAACTAAATGACAGAGGAAACAGGAGAAATGTCCCAATATAGATTTCAAATAAAGTTGTTTGCCTGATGACTTATGATTCAAAAAGAATTTTGACCGTACTTTTACAAATTATCCTACTGCATAATACGAACAAGTAAGTACCTAGAGCTCTAAATCAATGCTTTAACATTTTCAACATTTTCAATGCTTTAACATTTTCAATGCTTTAACATTTTCAATCATAAAATACTTCATTAAGACCAAAATGCGGTCTTGGCCCACCGGCTACAGATAATCTTGACCCAGATTAATACAACTCTGGAGACTATCAAAATGTCATCTCTTTAAAATAAAAACTGGAAACAATTTATTTATATTTGAAACAGAAGTACATT